TGAAATTAGGAGGCAGATTTTTACCCAAAGTGTAGTGGAAATCTGGAACTCTCTCCCCCAAAAGGCTGTGGATGCTGGATCCATTCACATTTTCAATACGGAGGTAGAAAGATATTTGTTAGGTCAGGGTATTAAGGGATATGGGGCAAGAGTAACTGGACTCGAGGTGCAGATCAGCCACGATCTTATAAAATGGCAGAACAGGCTTGAAGGGCTGAATAGCCTACTCCTGTTTTTATGTTTCTTTGAAAAGTGCCATGGGATATTCAACAGCCTCCTGAATAGGCAGAGCAAACTTTGGTTTGATATCTTATCTGAAAGATGGCACCTGCAAACAATGAAGACTTTGAGGCTTGAACCCACAGGCTTCTGACTTGAGGCAAGAGTGCTCTAGCTGAGCTACTGTATATATTTTTTAAAAAAACAAATTGCATTCATACAGAGCCCCTCTCACTGGGTAGTCTCCCAGAGGACTTGACCGTGGCGGAGCACAACAGGGTCACAACCTTAAAATCAGAGGCCAGCCCTTTCGCACTGAGTTGAGGAAGAACTTCTTCACTCAAAGGGTGGTGAATGTATGGAACTCACTACGCCAAAGGGCTGTTGATGCTCAGTCCTTGAACATATTCAAGACTGAGATAGATATGTTTCTTATTGCAAAAGGGATATGGGGATAAGACAGGGTTATGGTATTAGCTGAAGTTAGATTAGAAGATCAGCTATGATTGAATGGCGGGGCAGGCTCGAAGGGCCGAATGGCCTACTCCTGCTCCTACATGTTATGTTATGTTAGGAGGGGGGAGGTAACCATAAGCATGGTCGAAGAGGAATGTCTTTAGGCAAGGCAGAGGGATTGAGGAAGAATATTTCAGAGTTTCGGGACATCCGTGTCTGAATTGCCGTAAGCAATACTTTCACAAGTTTAAAGTAAAATACAACAATCAGTAAATTTAATTTATTTCTACCAGTTTGCAAATCAAGATATAAATAGAATATCAAAATGCACAGTAATGTCCATTTACCACATTACAATACTGAAAATTTGTCCAGCCCTTTTTTGGTGTGGACCCAGACAGCAAAGCATAAAAATAAACACTGAAATGAACCACAGATTACCAAACAATTCCCAATTTGAGCTTCACTCTCATGGTTTTAAGTTAATGCTGGAGTTAATGGCTGTTAACACGGAATACTTGACATCCTCTCTGAAGGTGTTTATGAAGCAATTTTACATCACTCATGTAAAGTACTGACTACATCAAGCAACTCAGAACAAAAATGTATTCAGCATTAACTTTTTTTTCTTAGAGCAGGGAAAGAGGAGGGAAAACACAACCTCTAAAATATAAAAATAAATGCTACTTCATATTCGATAAGCTTCCTCAGTGCTTTTTCACCAGCAACCAGAGTGGCTGGAATGTAGAACTTCACTTCATTCAAGAAGAGGCCTTGAAAATCCCATGATAGTCACTGTACAAACACAAGGAACAAGTAGATGCCTGGTTCATCAAAACGGAGATTTAAAAGTGAGCATCTCATTGCATACAGACTCCGAATCTTTATTACTATTTGTTCGGCTTTCAGTGCTCGGTGAGTCACTGGAAATTTATTTATTACTTATTTACTCGCCCCCAATTTTTAAGCTCCTCATTCATAGAACTTTCATGGGAGGGCAAACCACTTCCAGTTTTTCACCCTTCTGAAGCCATGCAGACGGGGGGGGGGGGGGTGGGGGGTGGTAACATATATTGTAACATAATGTGATCTCCCTGATTTTCTATCACTCCCTCTTTAATTTCTCAACTCTTGGGAAGCTACTATGTTGTGCCTCGCTAGGTGGGCAAATTTAGTGCTCTGACTAGGTGCACCATTAGACATCAGTACCATGTCATCAATATTTCAGTTTGGAATTAATGCTGGGGATGGGGGGGGCATGATATGTGCATATCACATTGCAATGCAACTTTTCCATATATGGAGCAAATATGATGGGCTATTAAGCTATTAATTGCACAAAAAATATGCTTGTGTTGAACATTTCCCAAGATCTGGACTCTTGCTTTGAATTTTGGACAGCATAAAAACCTTTTATTGCCCCCGATATGAATGAAGAAGCCTCAGATCTAAATAAAAGGACTTTGGAAGTTCAGCAGGATGTAAAGAATGCCCCAAATTGTGCTGCAGCCCCTCCACGAGCAGGAATTCACAAAACAGACTTGTTCTTGACCAGATGGGCTGAATGGTCTTCTGTGTTGTAAATGTCAGATGTAACCTGCATTCATCTTTGTGGCAGTGAAATTAAACTAGTATTTTTGCATTATATATGCTTGTTGTTTGTTATAAGGGACTTCTTCCCGACGTGAAAGGCTCTATACAAATGTAATTTTGTTGTTGTTGTTTCTCCTCCATCACTCACACAAGATAGAGAGACATGGGTCTGTGTAACTTTCTAAAATGAACCTTGATGGAGAGTACCAGCAGACTTCTGAACCACTGGAGTTGCTGCTTCTATCATAGATTCCAATGGACATAGATCAGAAAAGATGGCTGATCTAATTCAGAGACAACCAAGATCAACAGTACAATTTGCAGTGAAACCCTGGCTGAGATTGATTAACTTGGGGGTAGAGTATTTAATTACTGAGCAATTGTTCCTTTCCACTCTTCCATTGATCAAAGGTGACCAGAACCCTTTCTTGTAACCCAACACATTAATCAATATTCAACTCCACCACAGCCTGGGTCTGTGTCCCGGTTTTACTTTGTTTGAGAATGCACTCCTACTTTTTAAATACACAACATTTTCCAAACCGCAGCAAAACCTCTGTACCCTTTCAACAGCAGTTATGTTCTCGCTTTTGTGCTGTTGATGCAAGTAACATCTTGACAGGAAGTCAACACACAGCGAGCGAGCACACTACCCTGAATGAAAATTGCTAAAATCCATTCAGTGGAGAGAAATCTCAGTTCAATTATGGTCTGACATACATTATTAAGTCATAATAAAAATAATCCTTACATTTGATATTGCGAATTTCACGTCAGGAGTTCATCTCAAATTATTATTCGTTCACAAGATAACAATAAAGTGTTTCAACATTTAGGTCCATTTGATTGCTGAATCACTCATTCAGGAGCTTTCGATTCCTTCTGGATAGGAACATTATTGTTGTATGTAATGGTGCATCTTGATGTATACAAAAAGCTATCCTGTACTCACAATGACAATTCTGTTAGTGTTGCTCCTTTATACGGTACTTAGCAGGGGTCAACCAGTAGCAATCAAGAACAGGAACCTTAACTGAATTTTCTCTTTGTAGCCCAGGGATGCTGAGAATAATTGTGCTGTTACTGCCTAGCACTCAGCACATATCAGAGGTCAATCTAAAACCTTCTGAGTGGCTCAATTTAACTAGGCAGTTGAGGTTGCAGTTAGCTGCTCACTCACTCTTTCTGTATCCTGTTAGCTGCAGAGAGTAAGTGAGAGCAAGTGAGGGAGATGGACGATATCCTGTAAGACAATTACTTTGGCTGAAATTTGAACTCAATAGCAAATATGAAGCCAGTCAATTAACCACTTACACCAACCTAGTTGCTGGGCACTGTGCCAATGACAGCACCAAGGAAATAAATGAAATCCAGGGCTTTAATGATCATTTTTGGAGCAGGAATTTTGTTGCACTTTTGGAATGTAAGAAATTAGAAATGAACGGTGAATAATCATTCAAAAAAATCTTGAAACTTTTAGACTCCAAATCACTTGGGCAAAGTTTATGAGCTCAATTAATTCAGGACAGGAGAGTAAACATTGTACTGTGCTGTAAATATTTGACCGTGCCTTTGACCATCCTCCCACTCCCTTGCCCTCCAACCCTCGATTCAAACCCCCAGCTCGGGTGCAAACCCTTGACTTTCCAGTGCCTTGGGACATCCTCCCGATGTGAAAGGCGCTATATAAATGCAATTTGTTGTTGCTGTTGCTTGATTCTGGTAAAGTCCTATTAGCCCACAAAGCAACTTGTTACTCTGCAGTGATGGTTTTAACTAGTCTCCAGACAAATTAGATTGTGGCTTAGTCCCTGCTGGCAGGCATTTCTGCTCGAGCTACCATCCCACCGAGTAACACGATACAATCTGTTGGAAGATCGATAAATAGTACCACCATCAATGGTTAACAAGTCCTTTTTCCTTCATTTTCGAAGAAATGTTTCTTTAACATGTTACACTGATAAAAGAAAAAAAGCAAATTGAATTGATCTTGGGCTAGATAACATAAACTAGACAGTAGAATCTTAAAGGGGGTGAAGGAACACATAGACCTGGAGGTTCATATAAGTAAATCTTTGAAGGTAACAGGACAGGTAGATAAATCTGTTCAAAAAGCATATGGGATACCAGGCTTTATAAATAGGGGCATAGAATACAACAATCAGAAAGTTATGATGAACCTTTATAAAACACTGGTTAGGCCTCAGCTAGAGTACTATGTTCAGTTCTGAGCACCACACTTTAGGAAGGATGTCAAGGCATCTGAGAGGGTGCAAAGGAGATTTACCAGGATGGTACCAGGACGAGGGACTTCAGTTATCAGGAGAAGCTAGAGAAGCTTGGAATATTCTCCTTGGAGCAGAGAAGGTTAAGAGGACACTTGATAGACGTTTTCAAAATTATGAAGGGATTCGATAGGATAAACAAGGAGAAACTATTTCCACTGGCAGGTGGGTCGACAACCAGAGGGCACCGATTTAAAATAGTTGTTAAATGAAATAGAGGGGACGTGAGGAGAAATTATTTCACACATCAAGTTGTTTGGATCTGGAATGCATTGTCTGAAAGGGTGGTGGAAGCCGATTTGATAACAACTTTTAAGAGAAGTAGATAATTATTTGTGGAGTACAAGTTTGCAGGGCTATGTGGAGAGAGCGGGGGAGTGCGATTGATTTGGATAGCTCTTTTTAAAGAGCCGGCACAGACACGATGGGCCGAATGGCCTCCTTCTGTGCTGTATAATTCTATGGGCTTGTGAATTTCTGAAGAACTTTCGAATAAAAGTTTAAGATTCCCCTCCGCTAACTATCGTGACAGCTCATCAGTACCTCCATCATCACAAAGATTTCATCTTTCATCAATCACACTGGCAAGTGAATAGTCACTTGCAATTGACTTGCAAACTCTGCTATAATTTATAATACTTAACAGCCTGTGTCACTCAACAGAAAGGGGTTCCGCTTCTATCTAATATTGCATTCACCCCAGCACCTGGACACCGCTCAGCAGGCAACACCTTGTGCTTTAAGAGCATCGCCTTTAGGAACAGGAATCTGAAATCCCATGGTGATAGGTTCATCCACCATCAAGTCAGTCCCATGTCAATTAAGTGAAATCCAATCGTTTCCAGCATCTGTCCATTCAGTTTATTACACACCAAGGGGTTTCGTTCAAATCGCATTCTAGTAAGATGCTGATAATGGTGCAATGTGCCCCTCCTATTGTGAGCTCTGCTCGGGAACCAATTTTGTATTTCAAGTTCTTTAAGCCACCCTCTGTGTCCACTTTAAACTGTTCCTGTTAATAGGAGAAGGAAACAAGAGATGCAAGTCAGTATGTACCTGGAAGAATTGGCTGGACAGAAATGCAGAGGACAAGAACCAGATTATCCAGTCACGTTTTATGAAACCGCTTTCAAGAATCAATCAATCTAGTACATATTGGGAGAAAACCCAGCCTTTATTAGATCCCAGTTGTTCAAAGCAAAGGCAAGTGGGGACACCCGACTAACAAGGAAGTCAGTGGCAGAGCTCCAGACCCAAATTTATTTTCACTCTAATAGCAAAGATTTAACTACAGCAATTTTCTCGTTTAACATACAATTTCTTTCATATACTCTTTGTAAATGTGGCTTTGGGAACCATTGATTCCTTCCTGAGTCAGTAAATTATGGAGGCTGTTTCAGGTTGTTTCTAATAGAGAGGGAGCCATAAAACAATGGGCAACAGATGAAGAGCATTATAAATGAGTAGTGTAACAGAGTATGTGAATGTCTAATATGATTCTCCATTAGAGACACCGCACAAGCACAAACAACTTGTGCCAGAGATAGGAATGTACCTCTGTGATTTCCATGATACATTCCCAATCTCAAAGTAACTAGGATTACAGCATCTCTTACTGAGATAGAATCATAGAATTATACATCACAGAAGGAGGCCATTTGGCCCATCGTATCTGTGCTGGCTCTTTAAAAAGAGCTATCCAATTCAATCTCACTCCCCCGCTTTCTCCCCGTCGCCCTGCAAACTTGTCCTCCCCAAATAATTATCTACTTCTCTCTTAAAATTTGTTATCGAATTGGCTTCCACCGCCCTTTCAGGCAATTAATTTTAGATCCGAAGAACTCACTGTGTGAAATAATTTCTCACCTCCGCTCTGTTTCTTTTAACAACTATTTTAAATCGGTGTCTCCGGGTTACTGACCCACCTGCGAGTAGAAATAGTTTCTCCTTGTTCACAGTGTCAAATTTTTAAATCTTCTATTAAGTCTCCTCTTAACCTTCTCTCCTCCAAAGAGAATAATCCCAGCTTCTCTAGCCTCTCCTGATAATTAAAGTCCCTCATTCCTGGTACCATCCTGGTAAATCTCATTTGCATCCTCTCCAATGCCTTCCTAAAGTGTAGTGCCCAGAACTGAACACAGCTGAGGCCTAACCAGCATTTCAAAAAGTTTCATCATAATTTCCTGACTTTTGTATTCTATGCTCCTACTTATAAAGTCTAGTATCCCGTATGCTGTTTTTTTAAAAAACAGCTTTACCTACCTGTCCTGTCACTTTTACTTACATGAACCCCCAGGTCTCTCTGTCCCTTCCCCCCCTTTAAGATTGTACCATCAGCTTACATGGCCTCTCCTCATTCTTCCTCCCAAAATGCATCACTTTGCATTTCTCCACATTAAGCTTCATCTGTCACGTGTCGGCCCATGTTACCAGTCTGTCTATGTCCATTTGCAGTCTGCTGCTATCCTCACTGTTTACTACTTTTCTTTGCTTAGTATCATCTGGAAACCTGGAAATTGTAGTCCCTATACCCAAGTCCAGGTCATTTATATAGATCAAAAACAGCAGTGGTCCCGATACTGACCCCTGGGGAATCGTCCAGCTCACTTCTTTCCAGTCAGAAAAACAACCGTTCACCACCATTCTCTGCTTTCTGTCTCCCAGCCAGTTCTGTATCCATGCTGCAACAGTCCCTTTAATACCATGGGTTTCTATTTTGCTTACAGGCCTCTTATCAACCGCCTTCTGAAAATCCATATAAACTACAACAACTGCACTACCTTCATCCACCCTCTCCATTACTTCACCAAAAAACTTTATCAGGTTTGTCAGACATGATTTGCCTTTAACAAATCCGTGTTGGTTGTCCTTTGTTAACCCGTATTTTTCGAAGTGAAAATGTATTTTTTCCCGGATTATAGTCTCTAGAAGTTTCCCCACTACTGATGTTAGGCTGACTGGCCTGTCGTTCCCTGGTTTATCCTTCTACCCTTTTTGTACAGGGGAGTAACATTTGCAACCCTCCACTCCTCTGGCATCACCCCAGTTTTCAAGGAGGATTGAAAGATTGTTGCCACAACATTCATTATTTCCACCCTTACTTCCCTCAGTAATCTAAGATGCAACCGGTCCAGATCGGGTGACTTATCTACCTTGAGCATCAATAACCTGTTAAGTATACCTCCTCTCAGTTTATTCTTATCTTATCCAATTTCTCTACCCTCTCCTCGAATACTGTGGTATTGGCTGCATCCTCTTCTTTTGTGAAGACAGATGCAAAGTATTCATTCAGTATGTTAGCCATACCCTCTGCCTTCATAAGAAGATTTCCTTTGGTCCCTAATTGGACCCACCCTACCTTTGACTAACCTTTTGTTCTTTATATGCTTATTAAATACCTTAGGGTTTCCTTTTATGTTACCCGCTAATCTTTTCTCATACAATCTCTTTGCCCCTCTTATTTCCTTTTTCAGTTCACCTCTGTAATTTCTATATTCTTTTTGATTATCTTCTGTATTTTGGACTTGACATTTATCCTAAGCCTCCTTTTTCTGTTTTATTTTAATCCCAATTTCCTTATTCATCCAGGGAGATTTGGATGTCCTACCTTTCACTTTGTGGGAATGTATTTGTTCCGTCCCCGAACTGTATCCTCCTTGAAGGCTTCCCATTGCTCATTAGCTGTTTTACTTGCCAATCTTTGCAGTCCACCTTGGCTAGGTCCCTTTTTAAATCATTGAAATTAGCCCTCTTCCAGTTGAGTATCTTCACCTTTAATTGCTCCTGGTCCCTTTCGATAAGTACTCTAAATCTGATGATGTTGTGATCACTGTTGTCCACATGCTCTCCTACTGAAACCTGCTCCACTTGCCCTACTTCATTCCCCAGAACTAGATCCATCACTGCTTCCTTCCTCATTGGGCTGGAAACATACTGATCCAGAAAGTTATCTTGCACACATTTCAGGGATCCTTCCCCCTCCTTGCCTTTTACAGTATTATTTTGCCAGTCTAAAATAGGATAATTGAAGTCCCTCATTATCACTACTCTACTGGTTTTGCATCTTTCTGAAATCTGCTAGCAGATTTGCTCGTTTATCTCCTTCCCGCTATTTGGTGATCTAACAAAGTAGCAGCTCCTTTTCTGCTCCTTAACTCTCACCAAACAGATCCTGTTTTTGGACCCTCTAGCACATCGTCCCTTTCCAGGAGCGTAACCATGTCTTTAATCAATATGGACATCCCACCCTCCTCTTTTTCCTTCCCTATCCCTTCTGAATACATTGTAGCCAGGAATATTCAGCTCCCATTCCTACCCTGGTTTGAGCCAGGTCTCCGTTTTATTGCCACTACATCATAACCCCATGTGGGAATTTGAGCCTGCAGCTCACCAATCCTATTTGGTCTCACAGTAACAATGAATATATAACCCTTACTCCGATCACACAGTATAGTCTATTTCTTACTCAGTGCCATGGGATATGCAATATACTGCAGTCATTCTATTTGAAAAGAGAAGGGAGTTTCTCCTGGTGTCCTGCCCAACAATCCCCAAATAAAATGAGTCACTTACTCCATGGCTTTTTGTGGGACATTGTGTGTCCCATTTGTGCATTTTTGCTACCACATTTACTCACAAAATACACCCAGTCACATCACTTTAGAGTGTATCCCGTCAAGCGCTTTGAGACGTCTCTGCGACTTGATAAGGAGCAAGGATTATTATTATTATTATTACCTGCTTCTGTCCGGACACTCTTTTCTGGTCCCTCTTCCTCCAGGCTGGGTCATGGATATGTCGGAATGTTTCATATCCCGTTGTAATTCCCGTGGGGCGGAAAAGCTATATCAGAAGAAAGAGTCTTAAATGTATTGTACAACAGAATATACCCCAATAAATTCTGTGTTACCTTGCAGAAAAGGAGCTCTGTCTCAAAGCTCACTCCTTACTTGAGGGTTTGAATATTCAGTTGTAGGGCAATTCGCAAAAACAAATGGGCTTCAAAACTAAAAAAAACTTCTCTCTCCTTAATGGGAATCGAGCCTAGATTAAAACTCAGCAACGATAGAATCTAGTTAGCAGTGACATAGGATTTTTTTTTGTGAAAGAAATTACATGCGCAGCACTAGATAGATCATTTGGTTGCACCCTCGCCTTTGAGTCAGAAGGTTGTGGGTTCAAGCCCAAAGTTTGGACTTGGAACTCGTATAGTTTAAAATGACACTCCAATGTAATGCTTGGGATATGCTGTTATGTTGGAGGTACTGTCCTTCAAATGAGTCATTCAACCAAGGCCCTTCTGCCTGTTCATGTGGAAATAAAAGATCCCATGGCGCTATTTGAAAAGGGAATGGAGTTGATCCAGTAGAGCACGGCCTCTCTCACACTGATCAACAAGAAGAGTCTAGACTCGAGCTTAAAGTCACTCGCACCAGATGCAGTGATCTCTGGAGTTGCCAGTTATGTGAAATAGTTACCTGCAAAATAGTTACCTGCAGTCCTGCTGCTCTCATTCTCCGGTAAAATTCATCATCTTCACGCCCCCATCCCCAGAACCGGTTTGACATCCCATCACACTGTAAAAAGACAGGGAAAAGACACAGTCTAAATATATATACACACATTGTAAGCAAAGGAAAAAGACGCAGTCCTACTGTAAATGTGAATATTTCAGAGCATTAACTGATCTCAAGGCAATTAGATCACAGAAAAAACTTCAAATACATGCATTTTAGTGAAGCTTACACTATGGGTTAGCTTTGTGTCAATCTTCTCCCCCATCTACGCTTCTCTTTTGCACTACAGTGAACCGAGGAGGGAGAAGCAGAATTATTTATACTGAATACAAATAAAGGAATGATCCAAAAATGGCAGCCTTGTACTCACAACCTCCTTTGTATTATCTCAGTGGGATGTCAAGCTGCTTGTATAATGCAAGTACACTAAAAGGATCTGCTCAGAGCGAGAGCTGAATCCGTGCAGGGAGGTGACAAGTTTTCGCTGTGCCAAGAGAGAGGAAGGAAAGATGGAAAATGTTTCCTCACACGCTCCTGCCATCCGGACTTTTGAGCCCATTTCTTCTGGTGGGAGACAGTGGAAGCAGAATTGATTCTTTCAAATGTAAATTAGATAGATTTCATTCAGGAAATAATATTTTTGGGATACAGGTATACGAGTTGTTCAGGACGTGACACGTGCATGCGACTGCCAAGTTGGTGGCAGGTGAATTGGATGGTCTTTATTCGTCCAGCATTTCCTATGTTCCTGTGCACCACACTCACATCTGACCCAGACAGGGTTGAAACAACCAGGTGTTAGAGATTTGCTTTGTTACTAACCAATTCAAAGTGCTGCTTAGTGAGCAGGAGGATGCCTCCCACATATGTCTTGTAGTGGTACAGGGGGTGAAGCTCTGGTGATGCTACGTGAAATGGTCCTTTTTCTGGATAACCGTAGTCCAGCTCTTCATTCTGGGGCAATAAGTCCACATCGTGCATAGCGAGGTAATCTGTGTCATTCCCACTCTCCAGGAAACCCACATTTATCAAAGAGGCTCTGTTAAACCTAACAACACAGAAACAGGTCAGCACCTCCACCAACAACAAATTACCTTTGTATAGCGCCTTTCACGTCGGAAAAATGTCCCAAGGCTCTGAACAGTCAGGGATTTGGATTCAAGGTGGTGATTGGGATAGGGAGGGGTGGGGGGCAGGGAGGGGAGGGGCAAGAAGGTGACCAAAGGCACTGGCGAAGAGGAGGTTCTTGAGACTGCCCTTGAGGTGAAGGGATTGTGGGATGGAGTTCCAGAGGGTGGGGACAGGAAGGCTGAAGGCCCGCCCTCCGATGGTGGGGTGGCCTGAGCGGAGGGACATGGAGCAGGCCCAGATCAGCACCAATGGCACAGTTACAGCCTTTGAATGTTTCACAAGACTAAGTGTTCCCCTTTGTAAGCAGTGGGACATTGTTACCAGACTGCAGTTATTGATGTGACAACACTGCCAGCCGGCAGGTAGTGATGGGACAAGCATGGCCAGCATCTCTGTGTAAAAAAAGGGAGAATAAGAATGCATTTCATTTGAATAAAATACCCAGTGTTATTTGTAGCATGTTTTCAGGCAGTCAGTGGCTGCCGCACACATTGTACAAACTTACAATCTGCTGTTCCTTTTGGCAGCAGGATTTCTCTTCTTTATGCAGTGGTTTATTTTGATTGAGTGAGAAGCCAACGTAAAACCTACTGAACAAATAGTCTGTCAGTTTCTGCATATATATTCACACCTTATAAGAGCAATACCTGAGGTGGTCGACTTGGTTGATCACAAGGATTTTGTGTCTGATCTTCTTCTTGTTTAAAAACTCGTGCATGTAGGGCACAAAGCTTAACAATTCCTCAAAGCGTTCCCTGAAAGGAACAACGATGGCAATTTTGTGAGGGCCCCAGATCGTCGGATCCTCCTCCTTCTCCTCCTGGCAGGATTGGTGTGAGGAGAGGTCAGCAATACTGCTCTGTCGGCTATTTGCTGCACAGTTGAAGTGCAGCCACATCACAGAAAAGAATCCCAGGATTGTCAGTGTACAGAACAGCTTCAAGACGGAACATCTTCTGGGCAACATCCTAAGGAGCAAGGCTGATCTGAAAAGGAATAAAACTTCATTTCTTGGAGGCATTTAAAGGCACAAAGCCAGAAGCAGCCACTGAAAGGATTAGTGGTCCACAGACAAGCTCCAGTGTTGATCAGTGCCTGTTTTTTTTAAGCAGTTGCATTCCTGCGTCAACGTGCACATACGCACACATTTCTGTTTACCTAGCAGCAAATAGGACCTGGTTGTTAGTCGGTTAGCAGATCGCGATAATAGTCCCTCCAGAAAATAAAATAAAAATAATTTGGTCACTCAATCCACGACTGTTTGTGGGACAATTGGCTGTCGCATTTTGCACACAAAATATACAGTCGATTCACTTTACAGTATATTCTGTGAAGTACTTTGAGACATCTCAATGATGTGATAATGCACTTTATCAAATTATTATTATTATTATGATCTTTGATGATGTTGGTATCTATATACTGGTAGTGCCAGGCCTGAGGCAATGTGGTTTCAACTTCTCACTGAAAACAGATTATGGAACAAACCCTGGTGTTCCACACAGCAGTTGTCCTCCATGCACCTTTACATACACCATTGGGGGGCACACACGGTGTAATGAGAATGTACATGCCACACTGGCATGTACACTGCACTCACATGCAGCAGCACAGAAGCACATGCCACTCACAAAGCAGATTCCTTTGTGGAAAGACCAGCTCGACCACAAGACCTGCCAGGCAGAATGAAGCAATGAATAGATAAGAGTACACAGCCCACTGTTTCAGGTCAGATCAATGGTCACATCCTAATAGACCTGCTGTGCAATTGCAACATTCACAATTTTTAAGTTTACAATCCACTTAATTGACCAAGTGCTCATTAATACCCAGTACAATAAAAGATGACATATTTAGCTGAATCACAATGGGGTCTATAAAACACACAAACAACACTGATTTGACCCCAGAGACTGGTAAGGTCCCAGGTTCAATCCCTAGTCAGTGCTGAATGCACACATTGCCACAATAAAGTACTAAAGACCAATTTAACTGTGAACAGAGAATTTGTCTCTATCAAAGCAACTACAATTACAAGCAGAATGAAAGGATGAACAGGAACAAAAGTACAAGCCAACTTAAGTGCTGCCATTAGCATCTTCGCAGAACAGTCAACCTTATATTGTTTTTTTCTCATTGTATATACTTTCCTCTGTTTTCTATGCGTCATTCAAGACCATTCACTTTATAAAAATTAAATTCTTCCAATATCCTTAGAAAAAAAATTATTCTAAAAATTTTCACCAAATACCAAATATTATGGAGTCCTGTAGCTCAGTGGTTAGAGCACTCGCTTTGCAAGTGAGAGATCTGGGTTCGATTCCCGGCAGGGCGAAACCTTGGGCAAGTTTCCTTACTCCATACGCTCAATAATAATCCCTCCAAAAAAAAAAACAATAATAAATTGGTCATTTTGAATCCATGACTGTTTGTCGGACATTGCTGTGCGCAATTGGCTGCCGCGTTCGCCCACAAATATACGGTCAATTCACTTTACAGTGTGTTCTGTGAAGCGCTTCGGGACGTCCTCCCGACGTGAAAAGCGCTATATCAAATGCAAGGATTATTATTATTATTATATTATTATTTCTGATTTGCGCCCAGGACCCTATCACCCCCATCCTCGCCAAACTCCACTGGCTTCTCATAACACAGAGGATACAGTTCAAGATACTGGTCCTCACCTTCAAAGCCTTCCATGGTTTAGCTCCTCCTTACCTTTGCGACCTCCTAACCCCCTACCAACCTGCTCGCTTCCTCCGCTCAGTGGGCTCTGGCTTCACATCCCCTGCCTCGCCAGCTCCACCATTAGCGGGCGGGCCTTCAGCCTCTCAGCCCCACTCTCTGGAACTCCATCCCCGGGTCCCTCCACCTTGACCCCTCCCTTGCCTCCTTCAAGACCCTCCTCTTCGACCGTGCCTTCGATCACCCTCCTTCCCCCACTGCTCTCCACCCTCCCTGACCCCCAGATCAAGGTCTGAAACACTGATTGTCCAGCTCCTTGGGATGTCCTCCCGAAGTGAAAGGCACTTTACAAATGTAATTCTGTTGTTGTAGCTGTTGGTGGGAGGTGCAATTAATCCACTGAAGGTGTGGAGATGGACAAAACTGCATCAACGTCCAAAACTATGCATATAATATAACCAACTGGGTTTGCCTACAAAACACACAATCAATTCACTTTATAGTATATTCTGTGAAGTGCTTTGAGACGATGTGATAAGGCTCTATGTCAAATACAAGGATTATTATTATGTTTAATATCTGGTAAAGGGGGGGAGAACAATCCATCTGGTTGTGCCTCAACCTGCGGATTACCTGCTGTCTTCCTTAGTGAAGTAGAGGACCGGTTTGCGCCTGGAGGAGTACATCATCTTCTCTCTGCCTCTCCTGCCCGTCACATAATCCTCGACACCTGGAGCCTGGCCCCGCGGGGGGATCTGCTCTCTCTCGCGGCCTCACAGCCTCTCGCTCCCCGGGGTTCCTACACGCTGGCGGCCTGTGCCACCCGCCCACAGTCCGGCGGAAACACAGCACTGAGCACAAAGGTTCCGACCTGGATCTCTGCTTCCCTGCACCTGGTCCTGTGATGCAGGTCAGTGTTCTCAGACACATTTAAATAAATTTAAATAGAGTGACCATACTGTATTTTGTAAAACAAATTACAAAATACATATATATCACAGTTAAATAGGCTAACGATAGTTTGTAAGCCAAATCTGGGAATACAAGCGTATTTAAAAATTTGAAAACTGGCAGCAATGGAGAAGGCTGTTGGATTAATGGCTGTATTTCTCTAATGAGTGCATCTGCTTTAGAATGTTTCTTGCTCAGTTTGTTGCTAAACTCAAGACGGGGCAATCATGGCCTCAGGGACACAATGATTCATCCGGTGACAGTTTCCGGAGATCCGGGACATATGGTCACCCTTTCAAATACTATACACCAACTGGTCAGTATTCTGTGTGTGTGAGTAGGTGGGCATTGTAGCTCAGTCTTCTTAACAGTCTCAATAGTCCAGTTCCTGAGCCAGGCGGGTCCGCAATACTCTCAAGCACTTCTGAAGTCAGCACAGCTCGTTGGCAGAATTTAGAGGCAGCTACAGCAAGCCAAAACCCTGATGATTTGGGTGGTCCAAATCTGGTCAAGTATTGGGAAACTTGCCATCCAGTGCTCTCAATTTAAATTCTGGCCTACTCCACGTCCCCGCCTGGCCTGCCCCACCATCAGCAGTTGGGCCTTCAGCCTCTCTGCCCCCACCCTTTGGAATTCCATCCCACAGTCCCTTCGCTTTGCTCCTTCCCTTGCCTCCCTCAAGGCACGTCTCAAGACCCTCCTCTTCGACTGCGTCTTTACCTACTCTCCTACCCCGACCCTCCCTGCCCTCCACCACTCCTGATCCCAAACCCCTGCTTAGATCAAAATCCCTGACTGTCCAGCGCTTTGGGACGTCCTCCTGACGTGAAAGGAGCTATACAAATGTAATTTGTTGTTGTTGGTGGTAGTGCTGACCTGTTTCTGTGTTGTTAGACTTAACAGCTTCTTTGATAAAACGGAAAGTGGGAATGACACACATTATATTGCCATGCACGATGTGGACCTATCTTAATAATAATAATTCTTGCATTTGATATAGCACCTTATCACACCTTCGAGATGTCTCAAAGCGCTTCACAGAATATACTGTAAAGGAATTGACTATATATTTTGTGGGCAAAACACAGCAGTCAATTGCGCACAACAGTGTCCCACAAACAGTCGTGGATTGAATGACCAATTTATTATTTTTGTGAAGGAACTATTACCACCGGAAAAGTGATCGATTTAACAACCGGGTTCCTACTTACTGCTAGGTAAACAGAGGCTTGTGGAGTAAGGAAACAACATTTCGTCCTGCTGGGAATTTAACCCAGGTCTCTCGCTTGCGAGGCGAGTGCTCTAACCACTGAGCTACAGGACTCGACAGAATGGAGTCCCAGAATGAAGAGCTGGACTACGGTTATCCAGAAAAGGGACTACGTGACATCACCAGAACTTTATCCCCTGTACCACTACAACACCTATGTGGGAGGCATCCTCCTGCTCAATAAGCAGCACTTTGAACTGGTTAGTAACAAAACAAATTTCTAACACTTGCATCATCTTGTTTTAACTTTGTCTCAGTCAGAGGCGAGCGTGGTGCACATGAACATAGACGAAAAAACACCAGAGTCCTTCCAGTTCACTTTCCACCATCCTGTAGTCGCATTTTGTTGTTGTTGAGAGGATGTCTCAAAGCCCTTCACAGGATTTACTGTAAAATGTAGCAACTGTATTTGGTCGACGGATGTGGCAGCCAATTTGCACGCAGCGATGTCCCACAAATAGCCACATCCGTACCCTGACCAGGACCGCTTTTTTCCACTTCTGTCACGTTGCCCGCTTCCATCCATACCTAACAATCAACGTAGCTGAATCTCTTATCCACACCTTTGTCATTTCCCAGCTGGACTATTCCAATGCCCTCCTTCCTCGCTGGTCTCCCCAACTCCACATACACAAGATTCAATTAACGCAAAACTCCGCCACCCAGACCTGCACAAAACTCCATACCCCCATCGCACCATTCCTTGCCTGGCTCCCAATTACCGTAACGGATCGATTTCAAGATTCACTCACTCATTTTCATATCCCTTCATGCCCTCGCACCTCCCTACCTATCGACCTGCTTACCCCCTACTCAACCATAGGCTGCCTCCGTTCGGCTGGCTCCAGCCTCCTATTTGTCCCTCATCCCTCCGCTCCACCATCGGTGGCCATGCTTTTAGCCACTACGCCCCAAAACTCTGGAATACCCTTCCTCAGTCCCTCTACCTTGCCCCCTCCCTCCCCACCTTGAAATCCCACATGAAGACCTTCCTCTTTGATCGTGCTTATGGTCAACTCCTGCCCTCCTTCACCTCCTGGCTCAGTGTCAGACTCCTCCAGTCCGCCAAAGTTCGTAGCAGGTACTCATTAAAACTACTTTAATAACCACCACCAATAAACATGTTTAATATCCATGAGACAAATAAATTAATCAACTGACTCCAGAGAACCACGATCCCAATCTGAATCCCCTTTATAAATCTCCAAAATCCAGTTGGATTTAAATACTAATCCCAATTGGTATATGCCCAATACCGTTAAAAAAAAATCTATTTCATTATAAAATCAAACAATTCGGAGGCCCAAGATATCTCATGGCCTGAGCTTTAAGACTAAAGTTTTAACATTTGAGATTGTGCAGATTTTGGGAAAATTCATAAAATTAGTCTAAATTTGGAAGTGTTTTTTCCACATTTATCCATCTTCCAAATTCAGACCGAAGTTAAGAATTTTCCTAAATACAGCTCAAGAGAATTGTCTCAAGGCTAAGCCTATGAGAATTTTCATGCCTCTACCGTCTAGAAAGTGACAGGAAATTACAAGAAATTAATCGGAGATTTCTTAACAAAATACCATTAAAAAGTATTTTTTTAAAACAAGGTTAAAGGTCATCTGGTTGCCTTGACACAAGACAACAAGGTCAATGGTTTTGAAAGGCTTTGTTGTATCTCTCCGCCAACAAATATAATTGCTAAAAACTTTCATGAAGAAATAATCCCTTTAAACAGATCCCTGAAATCCAAAGTCTTCAGTTTAACTAATAGTACCATGTTAACTAGCTTTACTAATTCCAGTCTCCAATAACCTTTGTTAGCAAAGCTGGAGAGTCATCCAGAGATAAGGTGCTGCTACATCGATTCCATTATGGGAGTAAATCACACCCTCATCTTCATCACAAAAGCGATCCCTGTTACAATGATTATCACAGTCATAATTGCCAACATCAAGAAAATCCGCGACCGGCTGGATTTGAGGCTGTAGGAGGCCAGGATCTGACTGCCCCCATTCTCGTGGCACCGACACTTATAGTCACCGATTGCATTTCCCATTACTAGCAACCCTTTGCTATGGTAATCGAAAGGTATCACCTTGCCGGGCACCAGCCACTCACAGCGAACCAATGCAGATAAGGGTTTGCAAAGGAGGGTCACAACCGAGTGATGGTCAAGGTACAGACTTTGTTTGACCATTTCTGAAATACAAAAGAATATATTATTATAGAATCATACAGCACAGAAAGAGGCCATTCAGCCATGTGCTGGCTCTTTGAAAGAGATATTTAATTAATCCCACTCCCCCGCTCTTTCCACATAGCTTTGCAAATCTTTTCTTTTCAAGTACCTATCCAATTCCCTTTTGAAAGTTGTTATTGAATCTGTTTCTGCCACCCTTTCAGGCAGTGCTTCCAGATCGTAACAACTGCTGTGTAAAACATTTTTTCCCCATCTCCCCTCTGATTCTTTTACCAATTACCTTGAATCTCTGTCCTCTGGTTACCGACCCACCTGCCAGTGGAAACAGTTTCTCCCTATCCAATCTATCAAAACCCTTCATAATTTTGAACACCTCTATTAAATCTCCCCTTAATCTTCTCTGCTCTAAGCAGAACCATCCCAGCCTCTCTACATAACTGAAGTCCTTCATCCTTGGTACCATTCTGGTAAATCGCCCCTGCACCCTCTCCAAGGCCTTGATATCTTTGACGGGATAAATGCTTTAAAAAGTTATCCCAGTCTCATTCAGGATACTCTGAAAACTATTTGCCAAAGAAACCCCTAATAAAATCTGGCTTTGGTGTTTAGATGAAGAATTAAAATTAATGGAGGAGAAAAAGAAAGAGCAACAGACCAGAGGCCTGACATTTTTATAAATCTCAGCCTATAAGATCATTCTGACTTTGCATTTGATCATTGCATTTGGTATAGCGCAGTGGAGGCCAACCTTTTGCTAAGGTGTGCCACAGTGTGAGCCCAAGACATATCGCCTTGCCACAAAAATAATTAAATTAAAAAGAAAAAATATTACTGGAAAAGAAAGATGCATTTATTAAGAAATTCACAATGAAATATCAAACAAGTCACTTAATGAGGCTTGTGAATTTGTTTTTAATTTATTATATCTTCAATATTTGGATTCAGTTTTGAGCACACCAGTAAAAGAAGATGACAAAGGTGATCATCTGTTGGTTTGGGATAGTATTTATCTTGTATGAATGAAGTTCATGGTGGAGAAGGACTGCTCACAGGTGTAAGCTGATCCGAATCTGCACACATAATCTAAGAGCATGGTCGTGCAATTTAGGAAAATCACTCTCAGGGACGAATTTACAAAGCAAATTCAACCTCATTAAACCTCACTCCCCATCATGCCTTGTTCAGGGTGGATGTTAAAGATCTCCCACAACACTGTCAGAGAAAGGAGTTTTTCTTTCTCTCCCAGTGTCCTGGCTGACAGATAAAACTGCTGTTTGAGAGATGTTGCTGTGCTCAAAATTGGCTACCACTACACTTTACAGTGAATCACACAGTCACTACACTTTACAGTGAATCACACAGTCACTACACTTTACAGTGAAACCCTGCGAAGCGTTAGGAGACGTTTCCCGGAGTGAAAGGTCCTGCGTTGAGAGTTCGTATCAGTTGTTATTATCATTATTATTAATATACAACAGAAGTTTAAAAAAAGGTTTTTACAGTGTGAAGTACAAGTGGAATGTGGAGGAACTTTGCAAATACAGCAAAATGTGCGTCAGATATTCGGGACACGCACACAGTCACACACACACAGTCACACTGTCTCACCATGTTTCTCGAGGGGACGTGTAATAGTCACAGTGAGTTACGGTTTCCTCTCCTCAGGTGACGCTGCCTCGCGGGGTCTTCCCCCCCACCTCCACCCACCTCCTGCTGACCCACAGGAAAGTGCGGCATTGAGAATGGGTGGCCAAGATTAATCGCCCCCTGGTGCCTTCCTCACCATCCTGAGCACACACGGCTCCTGGGTTGGCTGAGCAGCAACCTCCATACAGTGGCCTCCAGTCATAAAAGGTGTTCCGTGCCACTAGCATGGGCGTGGTATGCCCACCACTGATAATAACACCTTATCATGACTTCTAAACATCTCAAAGCTCTTCACAGAATATACTCTAAAGTGAATTGACTGTATATTTTGTGGCGAAACACGGCAGCCAATTGCAACCAGCAGTGTTCCACAAACAGTTCATGGATTAAGTGACTAAATTACTGTTATTATATAATTTTTTTGAAAGGATTATTACCCCCAGAAAAGGGATCCACCAATCAACTAACAACCGGATTTCTACTTACTGCTAGGTAAACAGAGGTGTGTGGAGTAAGGAAACTTGCCCAGCGTTTCGCCCTGCCTGGGGAACCGAACTCAGGACCTCTTGTTTGTGAAGTGAGTGCTCTAACCACTAAGCTCCAGGACTCCACTTAATTTAATATGCAGAATTATGGAAAATTCTTTAATTCAGTCTTACGTTGGAAGCTGGTTGTTTTCAAGAACTGCAGAATAACAGCTTCCACATTAATATTGTATTTAAGAATTGTTCACAATTCTGAGAAATCTTAAACTTCATGACAAAATGGTTGTTCAGGTTGAGTCAAGGTGGAATTTCAGGCACCTGGAGTACAGATCTCAGAATAGGTATGTCTAGATATAAAAACATCCTGGTTTTGATCAGTAAAATTTGAGCTGTATGTGTATGCAGTACACAAATTCATACGCCTGTATGAAGGACCTTTAAAATCCGCACTGTTTGAATCCAAAGGTAAAAAGCAGGGTGTAAAACACCAACAACGGAAATCAGAACAAGAGTCTTCCTAGATTGTAAAAGAAGCTGGGAGATGGAGAGCTTGAGTGAACTATCACAACACAAACATATATGTAACTCTCAGCAGTTCGGTTTACAGAATCTTAAACAAGGTGATGGATCTCTGTGTACGTTGGATATCCAGCCTACAAAACTAAAGACCAGTGTTTAAAAGCAAGCCGGGCACAGTTGATGACACCAAGGAGCAGATCAGTGATGACCCCCAGAGAGAGTCAAGCTTTTTACCTTGTTGCACTGGACACAGAACTGCAGCATTGCCCTTCTGAATATCTTGCAGGAAGTCCCTTAAAACAAGTACAAAGATGCCGTTTCAATCTAATAGTCGTTGCCTCCACACCTTCAATACAAAGCTAGTGCAGTAAGGCTGTGGGTCAGTTTTAACTCTATCTTATTGCACAACATAGCACTTGCATGTGTACACATTGAAGATCTAGTTTCACCCACAAAATATACAGTATATCCTGTGATAGTATATCCTGTGAAGCGCTTTGAGACATCTCAACGACGTGATAAGGCACTATCAAATGCAAGGATTATTATTATTATTGTATTACGCATTTCAGTATAATATAACAACAACAACTTGGATTTATACAGCGCCCCCCACGCCGGATGGCGTCTCAGAGCGCTTCACAGGAACGGATCCCGGGGCCCATATATTTGGATGACAATAGATCTCTCGTTGACTGGGTCCAATAGCTCAGAGACACGACAACGGGGTCCCCCCACACAATCAAAGAATGAATGCTGAAAATGTGTAGTTGATCGATCAGCGTGTGACCCTTCATTGGAGTAACAAAATACAAATTATTTATTTAGTACCATGTTCCAGCCACTAGATGTCATGAATACACTTCGTAAAAATCCCAAACTGCACTGTTAACAGGAATCCAGTGACATTGAACTCCGTTTGAACCATTTACTAGAATTTCATGAACTGTAAAAAGTAAAAGACAAATGAAATGAAAAATACACAATTTATCTATAATTTTGCTCAGATTTCTCCCTCCACTGGATTTCTCACGCAAGATCAAAAGTTATAAATTATGCTACCAGTTTATTTTGTAAGGACTTCAACCCATTACAAAAAAATGTATCGTAAACATTTCTACAGAAGTCCCCAAAGAACTCTTGTAAATTAAAAATGTTATGTGAGACCTTCCTGTCCAGAGTAGCTATTTTACCCTGGATGCAGTGAAAATGAAACTTACACCAGATGCTGAATGGATTGTAATAAAGTGAATAAAATTTCCATGTTCTAGTGATCTAATAATAATAAATAACAATCTTTGAATTTGATATAGCAGCTTATCACATCTTTGAGATGTCTGAAAACATTTCACAGTGTGCGGTAGAGGACAAGAGAGGATAAAGGTTAAAACAAGAATTTAAGTTAAAAGACTTGAAATAAAACTACTGAGCTGGAGGTGAATTTCAGTTCAAGATGATGGGTCATAGTGGCTGTCATCTGAGAGATTTTTTATATAGCTCGTTAACCTGTATGCAGTGATGGTCAGCTGTCACTGTATCCAAATCAAGCAGGTGCAGGGTTCAAAACTGATGTGTGCAACATTTGGTATGTATATGTGCACTTCATCTGAAGTCTGTGTTCTCAAAGGACATCATTAACCTTTTCAAATATCTGCTTTTAAGCAAGAAAGCTTCTAGGCCTACAACAATTGCAGACAGTTCTCCTGTTCTCAGTCTATTTCAAAATATAAATTATTGGTCTTGGCTATGAAACTGGCTGCCACTGGATTTGGTCATGTTATTCCTTCTCTCCATGCCCACTGCATCCATGTCTGCAGTCTCTCTTCCCAACCATGTCTGCAGTCTGTCTATGATTACAGTGGTGAGACATCACCTTGTTGACGAGTATCAACAAGATAATAGTAATCCCTCCAAAAAAAACAAAAAACAATAATAAAAAAAAATTGGTCATTTTCAATCTACGACTGTTTGTGGGACATTGCTGTGCGCAATTGGCTGCCGCGTTCGCCCACAAATATACAATCAATTCACTTTACAGTGTGTTCTGTGAAGCGCTTTGGGACGTCCTCCCGACGTGAAAAGCGCTATATCAAATGCAAGGATTATTATTATTATTATTATAGGTTGAAAATCACCTTGCTTATCAATATAATAGAATTGAACAAATTGAAATGTGTTTGAAAAGCGTAAAGGAGATGAAATAGATTAGTACATAAATTAAGTGTTCTATGACTCCAAAATGTCAATGAAGGAACATAGGAACAGGAGGCGGCTGTTCAGCTCTTCAAGCCTGTTTCACCATTTAATTAGATCATGGCTGATCTGTACCTCAACTAATACTTTCAATTCCAATTTCCCGCTTTATCCCCATATCCCTTAATACCCTGACCTACCAAAATCTATCAACCTCACTCCTGAAGGCGTGGTTGGATCCAGCATCCACAGCCTTTTGGGGGAGAGAATTCCAGATGTCTACCACCCTTTGAGTGAAAAAAATGCTTCCTGATTTCACTCTTAAATGATCTGGTTCTAATTTTAAGGCTATGCCTCCTTGTTTTGGATTCCCCCAAAGAGGAAATAGTTTCTCTGTATCTACCCTACCAAATCCCTTTATCATCAAAAATACCTCAATCAAATCACCCCTCAACTTTCTAAACTCAAGGGAATACAATCCAAGTTTACGCAGCCTTTCCTCATAACTTAACCCTTTTAGGCCAAGTAACATTGTGGTGAACCTGCGCTGCACCCCCTCCAGGGCCAATATATCTTTCCTGAGGTCTGGTGCCCCAAACTGAATGCAGTCTCCAGGTGGGATCTGACTAATGCTCAGAGTAGAGATTTAAGAGTTTTTATGAACTTTTGACACTTGGGACCAGGGGTCTAAAGCAGTGCAAAGGAATGATTGGATGAACCAGTTTGGGAATCTGATTGGCTGATCAAGGATGGAATATGATTGGACAAAATGATGTTTAAATTCCATTTTTGGTTGTAAGAGTCACATGGACTAAGGGGTATAAATGAGGAGGATTGAGCTAAATTCTGGGAAGAGAATAAGGGTCTGAGTTGGATTAACACTTGAACTAACACAACTCCGTGGAGTTCTGTAGCTCAGTGTTTAGAGCACTCGCTTTGCAAGTGAGAGACCTGAGTTCAATTCCAGGCAGGGGGCGAAACCTTGGGCAAGTTTCCTTACTCCATACGCCTAATAATCCTCCAAAACAAAAAACAATAATAAATTGGTCATTTTCAATCTACGACTGTTTGTGGGACATTGCTGTGCGCAATTGGCTGCTGCGTTCACCCACAAATATACAGTCAATTCACTTCACAGTGTGTTCTGTGAAGCGCTTTGGGACGTCCTCCCGACGTGAAAAGCGCTATATCAAATGCAAGGATTATTATTATTATTATTATTATTATAACTCTAAGATTCTAAAAGCTTCTAAGAAGAGGTAAAATTGGGTAAGGTCATCTCTTCTGTGTTTCCCAAGAGGTCATGGTGTATGGAGGCTCAGTATATTTAGCAAGTATAAGACTTCCTGACCTTTTTAAAGTTTGGTTATACTCAATACTGTTAAATGTATTGTTAAAGCATAGTTAAAAAGTATTGCCGATGTGCTATATTTATTGTTTTTGCGCCGCTGTGGAGAAAGTTATAGTTTACTGGTACTTGTCGGAATAAATGAGAATAATTTAAGAGAAATAAAGTGTTGTGTTCTGTGAGATTGCTCTGACTGGGTTCATATCTTTTAACAAAATTGAGAAGTGAAGGATCATTCCTTTCAGAGTGCACCTAGACTGAGAAAAGAGATAAGAGTACCGTGACAACAGACTATACTGTACAGTAAGAAGACTATATATTGGGCCGAAACATAACAGCCAATTGTGCACAGTAGTGTCCCACAAACAATCATGGATTGAGTCGACCAAATTATTTTTTNAATAAATAATAATAACAATAAATGTTTTTGAAGGATTATTACCCCTGGAAAAGCAATCTGCCAATCAACTAACAACTGGGTTCCTACTAATGGAAAGTATCTCTGACCTTGGACCTATATTGAATGCATCTGAATAGTGAAAGAAGTGACTGATTTTAAGCTGCAAGTCTCTCCCACCATTTTTGTTGCATACTCATTAAGACAATAAGAACCAATTGACTAGGACCAATGGAAGAGGATCAGGAGGTGGAAAAGCAGTAAGCAGGGCGAACTGAGTTTTTTTCGTGGATCTGTTTGTTTTTGTAACTTGCAAGCTGAAATAAAAGAGTGTTCTACACATTGTTGAGGACATAATTTTAAGTCTTACTCCCTTGTATTTTTCTCTTCCTACTCCACGTCACCCTCCCCATCATGGAAGCATTTATCGATGCCACGAGCCGTAAGCAAGAGTGGAGTGACCATCAAACTCATTCTTACCCACTGGAATCACGTTTCTCATACAATTTGCATCTAGATGCCACCTTGCTCCACCCACAGTAGGGATCCCGGGCCAAGATACAGTCGTAACAGCTCTTGTATTTCTCACAGTCTGCCACCGCTAGCTGCACAACCTCACTGGGAGATCCAATGTACAGGAAGCCCTAGGGAATAAACAAAATGGTGACAACCTGTTTGCATAACCCAAAGAGAGGTTCAGATGAAGAAGGCCCCTCGACCTACTGGATGTCTGGGGAGACGTTCCACCTGAGTCTAGATTTACTCTAGTTATATTGTGTTTTAGACCTTCCAGAATTTGGCATATTCTCAAATACAATCTTAATTGCATCACCTCTATCCTCAAAAAATCAAAAAAACCACGTCATCTCCACAAATGGCTTCTCCTCCAGCCCCCACATGGTCTTATGAAGTGTTCCTCAGGGCTCTGTCCTTGGCCCTCTCCTCTTCAACTTGTACGTGTTCCCTCTTGGTAACATCATCCGCAGACATGGGGTCAACTTCCACATGTATCCAGATGACACCCAACTCTATCTCTCTGTCTCCACTGTCAACTCCAGGATGCGTATCCTCTAGCACACCAGACTCCGTGACCCCATCACCTCCACCCTAGCCCAGCTCCACCAGAGGATAGAGTTCAAAATCCTCGTCCTCACCTTCAAGGCCCTCCACAGCCTTGCCCCTTCCTACCTCTGTGACTTGCTAACCCCATATCCATCTGCCTGGTCTCTCCACTCAGCAGGCTCTGGCCTGCTCCATGTCCCCTGCCTCTCTGCTCCCACCCTTTGGAACTCCATCCCACATTTCCTTCGCCTCATTCCCTCCCTTCCTTCAAAGCATGTCTCAAGATATCAAGTCTCCTCTTCGACTGTGCCTTTGGCCACCTTCATACCCTCCCTTCCCTCCACTCTCCCTGTCTCCAAACCCCCACCCCACCGGCTCAGATCCAAATCCCTGACTGTCCAGCGCCGTGGGACGTCCTCCCAACATGAAAGGGCAATACAAAATGTAATTTTGCATTGTATTAATTGTGAAAACAATTTTCTGGAAATTCTGGAATTTATGGCTAACAGCTTGCGGTCTTGCAGGCTCTGTTAGTCACCGTCACCTGATGGTGTTTGAGGTTCTGAATGGGCTGAGTACGTTCGAATAAATTCTTCTCGTCGATGATGTGACTTGCGGAACCAATGGAGACAGCTTTGTGCAATCGCCCATCATCTGCAGAGAAACAGAGATTGAAAGAGAGATATAGTGAATGGCTCCATTGGTCTGAAATTCCTTGTCTTGCAGGGATTAGATTCATTCCCTTGTTCCTTTCATTTATGGACAATAATTGCCGTACTGCACATTGAGACACTATAATAATAATCTACATTTTATAAAGTACCTTATCACGTCATTGAGACTTCTCAAAGCTCTTCACAGAATATATTGTAAAGTGAATTGATTCTGTGTTTTGGGGGCAAAATACGGAACATTGCACAAAGCAATGTCCCACAAACAGTGGTGGATTGAGTGACCTAATAGTTTTTTTGAAGGGATTATTACCCCTGGAAAGCGATCCGCCAATCAATTAACAATTGGGTTCCGATTTACTGTTAGGTAAACAGAGGCGTGTGGAGGAAGGAAATTTGCCTAAGGTTTTGTTCCGCCAGGGAATCGAACCTAGGTCCTCTCGTTTGCAAGGCGAGCACACTAACCACTACACTACAGGATTCCACAGTACAAAAACACCCAGGGCTCCCACTCCAGTATGGTATTAAGATTCCACTTGTCTTTGTCTGATCACTTTGCCTTAAAATTTAAGATGAGTGCAAAGATTAGGGAGAATTCTTCAATTCAAATTGTAATTTGGAAGATAGTCCTTTTTTAAATCTATGGAAAACTAAACTTCCAAATGAAAAACAAATTCAAGAACTTTACACAATTCTTAATCTTTTTAAGACAAAGATTGTTTAAGACAAGGTGGAAATTGGGGCTTCTAATGTGAGAGAGAAAGCTGTTGGAAGGTGAGTGTGTTTGGACATTGGGTGAGGGGAGGATTAGATCTGCTGTAATGACTCTGGGATCAAAGAGACAATTCTCATTATCAAATCTCACAAGTCAACAATGGTTATTTGGACAAGGCACCAGAGGCGATAAGAACCTGTGGAACCTCTATTCCACTGGAGGAGAAAACAGAATCACATGCGTTATAATAATAATAATAATAATCCTTGCATTTGATATAGCGCTTTTCACGTCGGGAGGACGTCCCAAAGCGCTTCACAGAACACACTGTAAAGTGAATTGACTGTATATTTGTGGGCGAACGCGGCAGCCAATTGCGCACAGCAATGTCCCACAAACAGTCGTAGATTGAAAATGACCAATTTAATATTGTTTTTTGGGTTTTTTGAAGGGATTATTATTAGGCGTGTGGAGTAAGGAAACTTGCCCAAGGTTTCGCCCTCTGCCTGGAATTGAACTCAGGTCTCTCACTTGCAAAGCGAGTGCTCTAACCACTGAGCTACAGGACTCCATTCCGTTCAGAAGAAGAGGAGGAGGGAAGGGAAAACATTGGATGTGAAAATTTGGCAGAAAAGTATCTGTGATATTAAAGGAAGAGTCAGTGTTGAGGGCACACTGTGGATCCCAGCAGATGCTCAGAATCCATCTGTGACTTTCTCCTGTGCATTGTGAGTCCAGGTACTGTGCTGACTGAATCACATGTAAATCCCATGGATATTAACAGTTTTCTTGCCCCAGCCACCCCACGGGGATTGCCGTACTCCTGAACTGCTCGCTCCCTCTCTCATTCCCTTGCTCATCCCCCCCCCCTCAATCACTGAATCATTCCCTCATTCGCTAACTCACTCACTCCCTCTTTCCCTCACTCATGTTCCATGTCCCACACAAGCCAGACATACTTACTTGTTGCCAGGAAGAGGACCTCGTATGTGCGCCCGTCGGATGCCTTCACTTGTTGGACGGCAATGTGGGAATACTGAGCTTCGCGGGTCACAAGCACAGGCCGCTGGCCAATGGGCAGGATGGTATGGTCCATGAGAGGATGCTTCCTGGAAAAGAGCAGCACCTGGTCCGGCAGGCGGAGTGAACTGCTGATGGAATTGTTCCGTTGTAAATCTGTGATACACTGTAAGCCAAAACAAGGAATATGAAGTGCTCAGAGCTCGGGGTCCATCGTCATCACTCCTCCTGCCACAGACACTGGAGATTATCATTAGAAATTTGTATTCATGCGTATGTGTGTGTGTGACCTGTGCAACTACAACGTATGTAAAGGCATTACACTATACAGTTAGCCATTTGCACACCTCCCTATTTGTTTACTGAACATTTTAATTTGTGAAAGGAGTCCAATCATATTCATGCCTAACTGTGAGTATACTATGGGTGTCTATAAAACCACTCCTCGTGATGTGAAAGGCACTATGTGATACAGTACAACAATAGAGTACAAATTTACTTTTATATAGCACTTTTCACATGGGAAGGACGTCCTAAGGCATTTTGAAACTGTGACATAGCAGGTCTGGGAGGAATGTTCTACCTGAATTTTTTGATATTCACTGAAGTTTATTTCTTGATTTCAAATTTAGGTAAAATCATAGGACAATTTCAGAAGCAAGCAGAACTCGCCAGTGATTCTCCACAGCTTTTCTCCTGATTGATCAGACATCAGAAACCCTACAAACAGTAAAAGTACACTGCTAAACAGCAGCCCATCTACAATCTAGTTAACAATTTACAGTTTAAAAAGAGCCGTGTGCCTAGGTAACGCTTAGTTACAGGCAACAAATGTCAGAACAGTCTTACTAAGCAAGCATGTCACATGGTTCAGCCTGCACTCGCCACTTAGAATCATTGAATTATAGAATCATAGAATTATAGAGCACAGAAGGAGGCCATTCATCCCATCATGTCTATGTCGGCTCTTTGAAAAGAGCTTCTCAAAGCAATCCCACTCCCCTGTTCTCTACCCACAGCCCTGCAAACTTGTCTTCTTCAAATAATTATCTACTTCTCTCTTAAAAGTTTTTATCAAATTGGCTTCCTCTTTCAGGGAAAACATTCCAGATCCGAACAACTTGCTGTGTGAAAAAAATTCTCCTCATCTCCCCTCTGTTTCTTTTAACAACTTTTAAATTAATGCCCTCGGGTTACCAACCCACCCGCCAGTGGAAATAGTTTCTCCTTATTCACCCTATCGAATCCCCTCATAATTTTGAAAACTTCTAAAAAAGTCTCCTCTCAACCTTCTCTGCTCCAAGGAGAATAACCTTAACTTCTCTAGCCTCTTCTGATACCTGAACCTTAACCAGTGTTTTATAAACGTTCATCATAACGTCCTGATTTTTGTATTCTATGCCCCTATTTATAAAGCTGTATGCGTTTATAATACCTATCCTGCCATCTTCAAAGATTTACTTATATGAAACCCCCAGGTCTCTCTGTTCCTTCACACCTTTTAAGATTGTACCATCAGCTTATATTGCCTCACCTCATCCTTCCTTTAGATAATTATTTGGGGAGCACAAGTTTGCAGGGCCATCCTCGGTGCTGTATAATTCTATGATTCTATGATTTCATTCAGAACTCTGCAACTCGTGTACTGTCCCACACCAGGCTTCGCGACCACATCACTCCCACCCTCGCTCGTCTCCACTGGCTTCCCATCCCCCAGAGGATCGAATTCAAGATCCTCATCCTCACCTACAAGGCCATTCATGGCCTTGCTCCCTCCTACCTCTCCGACCTGCTATCCCCCTACCTACCTGCCCGTATCCTCCGTTCCTCTGGCTCCGGTCTGCTCCACATCCCCCGCCCCAACCGCCCTACCATCGGTGGCCGGGCCTTCAGCCTCTCAGCCCCTAGGCTCTGGAACTCCATCCCCCATTGCCTTCGCCTTGCCTCCTCCCTTTCCTCCTTCAAGGCCGGTCTCAAGACCTTTCTCTTTGACCGTGCCTTCATCTCCCCTCTTGACTCTCTAACCCCTCCTCGCTCCCTCCCTTCCCTCCCCCTGACCATTTCCCCCCTGCTCGGATCCTGACCCAACTGTCCAGCGCCTTGGGACGTCTCCCGACGTGAAAGGCGCTCTATAAATGAAATATTGTTGTTGTTGTTGTTGATTTATGATTTCTCTACCCTCTCCTCCGATACTGTGCCATTGGCTACATCCTCTCTTTTGTGAAAACAGATGCAAAGTACTCATTGTCAACCAGCGTCAACCATGTCCTGTGCCTCCACAAGAAGATTTCCTCTTTCGTCCCTAATTGCCCCCACCCTACCTTTTTTTTTCGTATATGCTTATAAAATACCTCAATCTCTTTGCCACTCTTAATTCCTTTTTTCAGTTCTCCTCTGTACTTTCTATATTCTATTTGATTATCTTCTTTATTTTGGACCCGACCCGTACCATAAGCCTCCTTTTTCTGTTTTATTTTAATCCCAATTTCCTTAGTCATCCAGGTAGTAGTTTTGGATGCTCTACCTTTCCCCTTTGTGGGAATGTATTTGTTCTGTCCCCGAACTACCTGCTTCTTGAAGGCAGGCATAGCTCGTTTGCTGTTTTACTGCCAATCTTTCTTTCCAGTCCACGTTGGCTAGGTCCCTTTTTAACTCACTAAAATTAGCCCTCTTCCATTTGAGTATCTTCACCTTTGATTGTTCCTTGTCCCTTTCCATAAGTACTCTAAACCTTCCCTATCCTCAACTACTGAAAGGGTTGAGGAGAGGTGAAGAAGCAAATACTATCAGCCCATCAAATACAGTCCATACGTAGACAACTAAATCCTAGCCTTTAATGGATGTCATCTCCTATTCTATTTCCTGTGAGAAAGATCCTCCATTGATCCTCAATGGTCTCAAGCAAAAACTCCAGGATTTTATCCTCACATTTCCTGTCCTCAATCCTGATCTATTCTTTCCATACACAATATGACATCTTGCAGCACATTTCACAAATTAGCTGCTACACTTCACAGAAACCTTATGAAATGTTTTGAGATGCTATTGCTACATGCAAATGCTATTTTTACTACTTATTAATCTGATAAATTTGAGATCTTACAGCACCAGGCCTTGGCGATGGGACTTCATCCTCAGACTTTATCCAAGTGGAACAGTCAGGTTGGTATTCTTTATATGGTCCGTCCAGGGCTTGCTGGATGCTTTTGATGCTGAACACACAGACCGCAGAGAGAGCTTCACTCCTAAAAACCAAACACAGAAACATGGTGAAAATCAAAGCCCAAGGAAACCTGGGAAACTGACAAGTCCATACATATTCAAAGACTTTGTACAGCTCTCTGAGTCCTCTCTACTGGTTTGTCTGTGTACATTTCACCCATTAGGGTTTATGTCTCCTGATTGTGTGTTGACCTGGCTCAGTTGGTAGCACTGTTGTCTCTGAGTCAGAGCTCCATGGGTTCAAGCCCCACATCAGGACTTGTAACTCATATAGTCTAAGCTGACACTCCAATGCAGTGCTGGGGTATGCTGCATCGTTGGAGGTGCTGTACTTCATATGAGACATTAAATCAAGGCCCCTTCTGCATATTCAGATGGATGTTAAAGATCCCCTGGCACTATTCGAAAAGAGTTTCTCCCGGTACCCTTGGCCAACAATCTGCAAATACAATTGATCATTTGTTTCATGGCTGTGGGACATAGCTGTGTGCAAATTGGCTGCTGCGTTCTACAAAACACACAAAACACACTATGAAGTGTTTTGGGATGTGAAAGGTGCAATACCAAATACAAGTAGTAGTATTATAATTGTCTCTCAGAACATGTGTGCATCTATTCTCGCTCTGCATGTGCACAAAACCCACATTCAGAGGCCGGCAGACAGGCAGGCAGGCATCTTTTGGTTTTTCACAGTCACTATGAGTCCACCTTTCATCTATGCATTTCGCCTAAAAAATTCACTTCAAGGTGATAAGGCGCGATATCAAATGCAAGGATTATTATTATCTCTTGCTTCCTCTGACTATATGAGTACCTTTCTTTCTCGCTCTCTCTCTCTCTGCTTTTATAGCTGCTTCTCTCTCCCTCTGTATATGTCCCTCTCCCTCTGTGTATGTGCCCCTTTGTCTCTTTATATTATATATCATATATTAGATGAATAATATATATTCTATATTCTCTGTATGTATGCCTCTGTCTTCTCCTGCAACATTTGAGACTGAGATTGTGAGCCTATGTTAACCATCCCATGGACTACACGGTTTTGAGTTGGAAGTTCAGTGCTTTGGGACATTCTCCTGACATGAAAGGCACTAGAGAAATGTAATTTGTTGTAGAAATGCTCTTTGCAGATTAAACAGGATCATGACCCAGGCCAGTTATGCAGTAATCCTGAATCCGAGTTGCCAGGATCCATATAGGATGGTGGCTTACCACTGAGAGGTGAACGCTGTGTAAAACAGGGTGCTGGACCAGTCCTTGGGATCTGGCTGCAACACAAACACGTCCTGAATCACGTCCAGGTAAAGCTTGCTCGCTGGATCGCTGCATACCAGCTGGGTCTTCAAGAAGCTGGTCCACTTCCTCTGTAGTGTCTTCAACCCACCAAGATCACCCTGATCGCGAAGAATAAGGAGGAAGGTAAGGGAAGACTCAGTCAAACGCTCCTCACAGAAAAGGCGAAGCATCCCTAAGGACTAGTTTCAATATTGACTGCTTTCCTAATCCTTTGGCAAACACTGCATCATCTGCAAACCAAACCCCTCAGAGACACATGGACAATAATGTCTCCCAATGGGCTGCTGCACCATTAATTACCTGCACCCTGCTGACGGAGAGAATAGTGGAATTAAAGGCATTTGAAAGGCAGTTACATTTAATAATAATCCTTGCATTTGATAGTGCCTTATTACGTCATTGAGACATCTCAAAGTGCTTCACAAAGTATATTGTAAAGTGCAGTGACTATGTATTTTGTGGGCGAAACGCAGCAGCCAATTGCGCACAGCAGTGTCCCACAAACAGTCATGAATCGAGTAATTTTTTTTAAAAAAGGAAACCTGGTAATAATTTTGTTTTTACCTTGCAGACCCGAGCGACTCTGGAGACCCGCAGCTCAGTGTAATAATGAAACTCCTCGCTCAGCTCATTGAAGAAAAAATACAGTTTATCATCGTCTCCCACCTCACTCCTCAAGCTCTCCTTTATCATGGCAGAGCCAACAAACACTGGGTCTATAAGGAAAGAAACCTCAGCTCAAGCATCATCTGCCTCAAACCACACGGAGTATTCCGAATATGCAGATATATTGCGGGCAAAACTGTGCTAAGTTAGATTCTAGGTGGCTACGTTAAATGTTTACTGCCCAGTCATGCATGTCAACAGCCAATGTAAGACACAAGGCTCCAGAGACTGACACTGTGCTCATGTCTTCTCTCAATAGAGACCAGATGCAACTCTTTGCCTATGGCCACAAGTTTTGTTGCTTAGCAACAACTGCAGGTTCAAAGTAAATGTTCACATGAGCGTTGCTGGGTTGGCAGAGATAATGAAAACTGGTAGGGATAGTGAAGACCCCTCCATTTTTCTTTATTGCAGGAATAAAGAGGAACCTTGTTATAACACAGTCAACTGGCTCCATTATCTCAATGTCTGAGTTATAAGCGAGGCACAAAAAAATGGCTGACTTCTGGTTTGTCAGGTTGCAGCTGACATCACTGTACATGACCAGCACTGATGTCACTTTCTCAATGAACAGGACGTGATGTGAGTGGTGCTTCTAGCACGTAGCGTGCATGCAGGGATTCCACAGAAAGTGACTTCAGCTGTGACCTGACAACCCGGAAGTGGAACATGGTTTAGTGCAGGACCAGCTGATCAATGTTGGAAGCTGGGTGTACTGAGCTTCCAGTTAGTGTAGATCAATAGGAAAGCAGCGATAAGCTAAGCAGTGTTATATCAGTGCAACCTTGTACCTTTACTCCCTCCCCCCCCTCCTCTATCAACACTCACCATTCAGCCAAGACGTTAACATTTCTGTTGAGATTCGCTGGTTTAAGGGACCCATCGTCCTGGAGATGAGCGGTTGAGTCCCATGGAGATTGGATGTAGTAGCAGCGTAAAGCACTCCATCTGTGTTACAGGGTCAGAGCCAAGAGAGGACAACATTAGTTATTGAGCACAACACAAGAATGCACTAATAGTAACCTGTTTCCTAATTTAGTAACACCCGCAATTTTGATATCATTCCCTTGTCAGAAACATTTATGTATATGAACAAGAGAAGTTCTAGTGCACCACTGGGGCATGCTACTGGCCAGGTCTCATAAATGTGAAGAACATTTCTACACTCTGCCATTGTCCCTGAGCCAATCTTGTGTCCATGCTGCCATTTCGCCCTCAATACTTGTCTGGGACGTAATCTTTGCAACTATCCTCTGAAGTGGCTTTTGAAAGTCCACGTCAATAACATCTACTGTGTTCCCTTTTTCTATATGCTCAGTATTTTCCTAGGGCAAGTAGACAGTTGAGTGAGGTGCTGAAGGGTGCAGCAAACACGTAACTATACATCAGTGTGAGTCAGCAACTGTCTGGAAATTGTTTCCATTGCTTGTCCAGCTAGGACTCCATTAGGGCTTTGGCTTGCAGGGTTAACAGGAGCTGAGTGGGATGACTGGTCTCCAAGTCCTGCCAAGGAGTCAAGTTGGCTGTGCTGTCATTAGCAGTGCTCTGGAATACTGCGCACCTGCCTGGTTCAGGAACTGGACTACTGAGTTTGCCACAGAGGGCTGTCTCGATTCTGATATTTCGCTGCTAAACATATCACCTTGGAGCCAATTGAGTTTCAAGGAGACCCTGAATTCAGAGGGTGGGGGAAAGAAAGGTTTTATTTTGGAAGATTAAATTTACCACTGACCATTTGCCTGCAGTGTTACAGAAACTAACCTCTGCATTCAAACAGAGGTGGAAACAGGAGAAAATGTGAAGAGACACTACCTGCCATCACGACGGTATGCCTCAAAGCCGGATCATATGGACACTTTGTCTTCCCACTCTCCAGGAGCACCTCTCCATCTCCATTCTTCACCAGCTCAAAGTCGGAGACCTTCTGAAATAAGAAACATCCTTCCTCACTGTGTTGTCTTCCCGCTTCACTGACACTCAGACGCTGACAGCATCACCATCCACAGATGCAGGCACCACCTCACCGAGCCAGTCTGTAACATTGGCATCTTGTTTGACCCTCAACTATCCTTTCTATCCCACATCCACGCCGTGACCCGCCCTTCCTTCCCCCACCTTCGCAACATCACCGGGCTCCGCCACTGTCTCATACCACAGGTTGCCGAGACCCTCATACAGGCATTCATAATACCCAGGTTTAACTCTGCAAACTCCCTGCTTGTCAGCCTCCCCAACTCCTCCCTCCATAGGCTGCAGATCATTCAGAACTCTGCAGCTCGTGTCCTCTCCAGCACCAGGCTCCGTGACCCTATCACCCCCATCCTCGCCCGACTCTACTGGCTTCCCATCACACAGAGGATGCAGTTCAAAATCCTGGTCCTCACCTTCAAAGCCCTCCATGGCCTTGCTCCCCCCTATCTCTGTAACCTCCTAACCCCCTACCAACCTGCCCGGTCCCTCTGCTCAGCAGGCTCCAGCCTGCTTCATGTCTCCCGCCTCACCCACCCAACCATTAGCGGGCAGCCCTTCAGTCCCTCTGCCCCACCTTCTGGAACTCCATCCCACAATCCCTCTGCCTCGCCCCCTACCTTGCCTCCTTCAAGACCTGTCTCAAGACCCTCCTCTTTGTCCGTGCCTTCTATCACCCTCCTTCTCCCCTTGCCCTCCACATCCCCCCAATCCTGACCCCCAGCTCGGATCCAAAACAATGACTGTCCAGCGCCTTGGGACTTCCTCCTGTTGTGAAAGCTGCTATACAAATGTAAGTGTGTTGTTCACTGGGACCAGCACCTCCACAAGTTTCTATACATACAAACACATCAACACATACATACACATGTGTACTCACATAAACTTAGTAGCACGCACTCCGACACCAACGCACACACATGCACTAGCACAGTACAATACAAAGGCACGTGCGCATTGAATAACTTCAGGAACAGAATTGCTCTTACGATGTAGGTGCACTGAGGGTTAAATGCAAAGGTTCCACAGGTGAAGATGTGCGTGTGGTTAATGTACTCCAACACACGTATGAAATTGTTACACTCCTCCTGTAAGAAACCAAACACAGCCATTTCCCACCTCTTATCTCTCACCTCCGCATCACCTTCAACTGGAGATCACATGCATTGCATGGGAGTCTGCCTGCAACACCAAGGCTATTTCTGGAAATGGGAGGAAGGATGTCTGGTGATAACATCAGAGTTATTTTGGCAAAGGGTTCTGCTATCAACACAACCAGTGCTGAGAGCAGTTCTACTGAGCACTGGATCAGTTATAGTTGATATGCTGTTGATATCCAACAGCACTGTAACTCCAGTTCCTATGTCTAATACTTTCCAGAATTAGGTAAGCAGGATACGTCCCTCCAGGAAGAGAGTGTGCATTCCGTTCCAAAAATTTATCTCTAGAATTTCCTTGTGGAGGTGGGAATTCTCAGTTTGGGTTAAAAGATACTCTTTTAAGTATGGTGATGGGTTTCCACATGTGTCAGACACTCGGCTGACCAAAAAAATTAGTTGGAACCTCAGTGAAGATTGATCCAAACGCAAAATAAAATGTAAAGTAATCAAGGAAGTGATCTGTTCAACACAAGGACACAATTACATCAAGAACAACACTATATAAATGTAAGTTATTATATAATAAACACAAAATAATCCAAAAATCAGGGAATCGGTTTCTGTACTTTGCGGTTTCAGTTGAGTGTTCTTAGAAAACTTATGCTGTAATATTAAAACTTACTGTTTCACCTGATCTTACACCATACACTAATTTTATTTTCTCCAATCTTTCTTTTGTTTCCTCCTCTGCTTTTCAGTCTTGCCCTGAGATCAAATGAGCTGCAAGCCCTTCTTCATCCAAACTAATCTTGTGATTTCTCCCTGATCTGTAATTACACTCTTTCCCACTCTCCCTCACTTTTGTTTCAAGCTATAAAGAAACAGAGCTCAGTGGGAGTTCATACCCACTATCTACGTCCGAGACCTCTTCCGTCACTCTAGGTCTCTGCCTCAATCCCTCTACCTTCCCCATTCTTTCCCTGTCTTCACATCACATCTGAAGACCTTCCTTTAACCTTGCCTATGGTCACCTACCATCTCTCCTTGGCTCAGTGTCAAGCTCTGCCACTGTGAAGAGCTCCGTCACACTACCCACATGAAGAGTGCTAGATAAATGCAGGTTGTTGTTGTTGTCCTTTCTTGCTCATGGTTCCTTCAATTTTTTTACATCCCTCATTTCTCTCCTATACATCTCTCCCGCCAATCCAGCCATTTGTCCCTTCTTCTCCTACCTGACATTTGCCTTGATTGAAGGCCCTGAGGCCCACAGAACCTGTTGGCACAGACAGACTTGTGATTATACCCCCCTGGGTATGATTCACATAACTAGAAATAAATTGGTTTAACATTGGAGGTTATACTGGGATAGCTCCACTTTACATAGGAATATACAAGACCTAAGAAGACCATTCTAGTCCATCTGGCCAGTGTCAAAGAAATCCCTTTACTAGATCTCTCATACTTCTCAATCAATCATCAATAGAGGAATCCCCTGTGGGAATGGAGCACGGACCTACAGTTTTCAGAAAAATTTAGAAACATTTAATGTGAAAAGGAGTTCAATACCCAAGTCTTTCCTTTTGTGGTGCAGTCCACCCTCTGTTCCTCTGACATGGTCCATGTGAGCTGAGGAAGCAATAGCAGCTTGTAAATATAAAGCTGAGATGTGAGAGGACAAGGCATTCTCTGTGTCCCATCCAAAATCTCGGGAGGGTGGAGCAATGACCAATGCACTCACACACACATGCACAGATATACACAGACAGAGAAACACACAATGACACACAAACATACACACAGATACAGAATATACACACACATTGACGCAGAAACAAACACGTACACTGACACAGAAACGCACGCACATAGACACGCTGACAAAGAAACACACATGTTGCATAGACATACTGACACAGGAACATACACACATAGACAGCTCAAAAACTCAGAAACAGGTGTCCACAAGCATACACAGACATACAGATACACACAGTGCACCAACCATGTATATAGTTGCGCTCACACAGAGACCAAGACAAACACTTACACAGACAAAAAATGTGCATACAGAAAATAAGTTTATTAACATCACAATCCAGCAGTGGTTAGAGCACTCGCTTTGCAAGTGAGAGACCTGAGTTCAATTCCAGGCAGAGGGCGAAACCTTGGGCAAGTTTCCTTACTCCACACAGAGCCTAATAATAATCCCTCCAAAACCAAAAACAATAATAAAATTGGTCATTTTTAATCTACGACTGTTTGTGGGACATTGCTGTGCGCAATTGGCTGCCGCGTTCGCCCACAAATATACAGTCAATTCACTTTACAGTGTGTTCTGTGAAGCGCTTTGGGACGTCCTCCCGACGTGAAAAGCGCTGTATCAAATGAAAGGATTATTATTATTATTATAATAAAATCTCTTTCCCGGCTCCTCCCCGCTATAAGAACCTCACGCACACTATTTTTGGGGGTCAGCCAGGTGGCTGACACATGCGTAAACCCATCATCATGCTTAAGAATATCCAAACCTATGCACACGACTCATAACAGCTTACTCACCGACTTCTTAACCTCCTGGGTCACAGTGTTCAGGCTCAGAGCAAACACGGCCCCTTTAGCTCCCACGTACAGAACCTTCTCCCTCTTTCCCAGGAGGAATGTGGCGTAGTTAGACACGTGCTCTCGGGAGAAGCGCTGGACAGTAGATGTAGTCAGATCTAAAACACAGAAAAAACACTTTGATTTGCTAATGATTGCTGCGTGGCCCGTGCTGTGTTATTTATTGTGACACTGACTGTCCAGAAGTTTGTGGAGTCCCGTACAATTGTCATTAGCGTGCTCGCCTCTCAAGCAAGAGGATATGGGTTCGATTCCTGGGGAGGTGAAACCTTAGGCAAGTTTCCTTACTCCATACACCTCAGTTTACCTAGCAGTAAGTAGGAACCCAATTGTTAGTTGATTGGCGAAGCGCTTTCTGGGAATAATAATCCCACCCCCAAAAGAGAAAAAACTCATTCCATGACTGTTTGTGGGGCACCCTCAATCAATCCACAGTCAATCCACTTTATAGTTTATCCTATGAAGCACTTTGAGACGTCTCAATGATGTAATAAGGCGCTATATCAAAAGCAAGGATTATTATTATTACTGGTGAATGACAATCAATGATGCTGTTGGTTTTACAAGCGATCTGCAGAGCCAGAATTAAGGAGATACAGTATATCTTCTCAGGTTTATAATATGGACTCAATACTACATCTTCCTGCATTTATAATATGTAGAAGTTATAATGTAAACAAATTATTTTCAGAGAAGTGTGAAAGACATTCCTTAGGATGACTGAGCAAGAGGCCCTTATCTGTACACCAGAGTATTGTTTGTCTTAATTGGTAACATTCTCTTTACTGGGTCAGAAAGTTGTGGAATTAAGCCCCATATCTCGACTTTGAGCTCATTGTCCAGGCTGATGTTAAGCTCGCTGGGATTTTAGCCTGCGTGAGAGACACTATATAAATACGAGTTGTTTTTGGTGGTGGTGTTGAAAATTTCATGGCATTTTTTGAAAGAGAAGAAATTTTTCTCTAGCCAGAAGACTAGCCAGAAGTAAATGGCTAGTCATGAGGTGAATCCCTGACCAGGACCATCTTCTTCCATCTTGGTCACATTGCCCGCCTCCGACCGTACCTTACCCCAAATGCAGCCTTGTGCATGCGTTTGTCATCTCCCACCTGGATTACTCAAACGCACTTCTTGTCGGTCTACCCAGCTCCACTATTCAAAAGATCTAGCATATTCAGAACTCTGTTGTCCGCATACTGACCCGGAACAAACAAATCTCACCAGTTCTGGCCGTGGCTCCACTGGACCCTCACCACCGAACGGATCGACTTCAAGATCCTCACACTCGTGTTCAAATCCATTCACTCCCTAGCACCTTCTGACCTCTCCGACCTCCTCGCTCCCCAATCCATCACCTGGTGCCTCTGCTGAAGTGGCAGAGGCTTCCTGCTTGTCTCTCGCACCCTCGGCCTACCATTGGAGATCACGCTTTCAGCTACTATGCCTTGAAACTCTGGAATACTCCCTCAATCCATCCTTTTTGCCCCTTCTCTACCCTTTTTCAAGTCCTACCTGAAAACCTTCTTCTTCGACCGTGTTTATGGCCACCTCTCGCTCCCACCCCTCCCCACCAGCTCGGAGTCAGGCTCCACCACTATTAAGTGCTCTAAGACCCTACCCTGCGTGGAAGGCGCTATATAAGTGCAAGTTGTTGTTCATGTGACTTAGCAGTGTATAAAGTGGCTGCTGCATTTATGTACCAAAATAGTCATTGACTTGACAGAGACCATTTAGACAGGAAAAAGCTCTATAAAAATGAATGTTTTTTCTTTTTCCTTTCACTGAACTCTCAATGACACTGAACATCTTTCCCACATCACCGAAGCAGTTTTACAATGAAACAATTTGGGAGACAATGACACACATTGGAGAATGTTACATTTTTCTTTGGAAGTCATTCGACACACATCACTGAACGTCACATCTGAAATACATTTTCATCAGATAAACAGTCATTTGTTAATGATGCTTGCAAGGTGCAGCATATTGTAACTCTAGTGGGAACTGAAGAGAATCTGGGCCAGAGAAACAATACAAGCCTTCTTTCCAATGGGGGACTGGGAAGAGCAGTCTGTTTCAACTCCTAGATAAATTGCATGGGAATCCAGTTTAGACAGAGTGTATATGGTATTGGATGTCATCATTAGTCAGGAGTTGGCCTCTTTTCACTCTGTAAACTTTTTTTGCCACATTGCTTAAATAACAAAGTGGAAACTGTATATGAGCCAGGCCAGGGCCCAAACTTATTGTCTCAGAGAAAACATTAGCTCCTGCCCCTGATCCAGTTGGACGTTATCCACAGTGTGTCACATGCAAAGAGTTATCATATGTTATCATTCACTTCATATCTGTTTGTGTGATCTTGTTACACTCGCTTGGCTGTTGCGTCTGCCTAAATATACAGTCACTAAACGCAACAGTACAACGACAACTTGTATTTATATAGCAACTAGCAATTACCTGAGAAGCGCTTTTAAAATGTTTCAGTGTTGAGTGAGATATAAGGACATTATTAAATTATCCTACATGGGGATTACTTCTCTCACCCTTTGAGTTCTAAAGAGGCCCATTTTCCTCTTTCAGGTTCTTTGTTGCTGCAATGCAGTCAATCCTGATAAACAGGTTAAGGAGCTTGCACCAGCACTTCTAAAGATTTCTTTAAAAATCAGCTTCTGAAAACAAACCTGAAAGACAAAAACAAGCCAGTTTGAACTGCGACTAAGAATGGGACTGGGTGGCGTCCCTTTCTTTACAGCACAGAACGAGGCCATTTGGCCCATGGTGTTTGTGCCGATTTTTTGAAAAAAAGCTCTCCAAATCAATCCCACTCCCCCGCTTTCTCCCTATAGCCCTGCAAACTTGTCCTCCCCAAATGTAAATTATGTTTTCTTGTCACACTTGAAAGCACTTTGCAGCTTTACAATCTCTATCCTATTTACCATCTATATACCTCTTCTGAATAAGACACTCTCTGAGAAATTGTCTTTAACTCCTAGTTTATCTAGTTCCATACCCATCAGCTTCCTTGTTCTCCAGTGACTTTCTGTATACTGCGTCATCTGCCTCCCCAATTTATTCAGTTTGACATCACCTAGTTATTATCTCTTAATTTAGCTCTTGTGTCTCCATCTGGACAGTGTACAGATCTCGGGTGACAGATTTGTTCCATTTGAGTGAACAGTACTTTAAACACAAGCCCTATTGTCAGCCTGACTCTAGCATTGCACTCTTGGGCCCAATTACCCATTTCTTCTCCTCTTTAGAGATTGCTATGGTTGGTGACAGGGAGATTGAAAGATTTCCTTTGAATACAGAGAGTCTGGGGATCAAATTTAAGTCTGTTTGGATATGTGTTCTCGTAGTTAAATTGGGGAGTTATTAACAAATTAAACACCAAGATAGCAAGGAATCACAATCCAAACTAAGACAATTATGTATCTAGTTCAATCCTAGTGCTTACAAATAACTGCACCTCAGCTAGACACAACAAGTTTGAGGGATTATCTGGAAATTTGGTTCTATTTGTAAAAAGAGGATCAATATAATAAAGGTTGTCGCTATATTAAGGAGGTTTTTAAACAGCTGAATGACCCAGAAGCCAGCTGCTCTGAACACCATTGGCAGCCACACCATCCAGTTATACAAAGGTTCCAATTTAGGTTAACTTTATAATTTATTTCATTGCTTCATGCACCTCAGGACTTTACAATAGCTTTACGGGTCCGTCCCTCATAGTATACTATACAACAGTAATAATAATCGTTGTATTTGATATAGCGCCTTATCACATCTTCGAGACATCTCAAGGTGCTTCACAGAATATACTATAACGTGAATTGACTGTATATTTTGTGGGCGAAACGCGGCAGCAGTGTCCCACAAACAGTCATGAGTTAGTGACCAATTTTTTTTAAAAAAGAATTATTACCCCGGAAAAATGATCTACCAATCGACTAACAACCAGATTCCTACTTACTGCTAGATAATCAGAGGCGTATGGAGTAAGGAAACTAGCCCAACCTTTCGCCCTGCCGGGAATCGCATCCAGGTCTCACACTTGCGAAGCGAGTGCTTCAACCACTGAGCTACAGGACTCCATAATAACAACAACAACTTGCATTTATATAGTACCCTTCACATGGGGTAGCATCCCAAAGCGCTTGTCAGTGGTGGAGTCTTAGACACCGAGCCAGGGAAAGTGGGAGGGGGAGGTAACCGGAAGCACAATCAAAAAAGAACATCTTTAGGTGGGATTTGAAAGTAGGGAGGGAGTGGGCAAGGTGGGGGGATTGAGCGAGAGAGTTCCAGAATTTCAGGGGGTAGTGGCTGAAGGCACGGGCATCGATGGTGGAACAGAGGCGCACGAGGGACAAACTGGTAGCCGGAGCCAGCCAAGCAGAGGCAGCGGGTGGTGGGGGTAAACAGATTGGATCAGTAGGGAGGAGCAAGGGCATGAAAATGATTTGAAAACAAGTGAGAAGATCTTGAAATCAATCCGTTCAGTAATTGGGAGCCAGTGGAGCCTGACAAAGACTGCTGTGATGGGAGTGCAGAGTTTTTAATCAATTGGATTTTGTGTATGGTGGAGCTGGGGAGACCAGCAAGGAGGGCACTAGAATAGTCCAGCCGTGAAGTGACAAAAGAGTGGACGAGGGTTTCAACTGTGTCAGTTGTGAGGTATGGACGGAGGTGGGCAATGTGACAGAGGTGGAAAAAAGCGGTCCAGGTCAGGAATGGATATGTGGTAGAAAGGAAAGCTGGGGATCGAACCTGATGCCTGAGTTGCACACGGATACAGACAGTCTGAGGGAGAGTCCTGGGAGATTGATGAGTTCAGACCTGCAGGAGAGAAGACGTTAATGGGAGCCAAAGAGTATGGCTTCCATCTTGCCGATGTTCAGCTGCAGGAAATTTGCACTTATCCCAGGCCTTGGTGTCCATCAGGTTGACAGGACATCAGCGGACTGGGAGTCTGGAGGAGAAGTAGATTTGGGTGTCATCCGCAGACTTGTGGAAATTTACCCCAGGTCTGTGGATGGCATCACCAAGAGGGAGCATGTACATTAGGAAAAGAAGAAGGCAAGAATAGAGCCTTGGGGTACTCCACATGTGACCAGGCGGAGGAGTTATGAAAAACTCTGAGATGAAGTGCTGGCGGTTGGTAAAGTAGGACTCGAACCATGCGAGTGCAGTCCAACTAAGGTGGATGAGGGAGGAGAGGTGGTGGAGGAGGATGGCGTGGTCAAACGCAGCAGAGAGCTCCAGGAGGATGAGGAGGCACAGGGAGCCCTGGTCACAGAGACAAAGGACATCATTTTGTTAATTTGAGGAGTGCTGTCTCTGTGCTGTGCAGAAACCGACTGGAGGTGTTTGAGTAGGGAGTGGAGGGCGAGGTGTGAGTGGGACTGAGCCTGAGGAGAGGGACTGACTTATGTTGTCTGCCAGCAGTGGGTAGAGGAGGGTGTTGAGTGACTAGAAGCTGGGTGGGGAGGAGTCCGAGGCAGGAGGTGGTGGACTTCAACTGGGTGATGGAGGATGAGAGGGAGAAAGGAGAGGAATGTAGATTGGGGCCTTTGGTAGGAGCCATGGGAGGAGGAGTGGTTGATTGAGAAGGAATGGGGGGGACATGGGCCAGAAGTAGGAGGTGGCCAGGTAAATGTTATTTATCTTGGAGATTAAGAAATCCAAGACCTCTTCGGACTTGGAATTAGATGTTAGGATTGAAGGTGCTTGAGGAGGTGGTGGGTGGTGGAGAATAGGATTTTGGAGTTCATTTTGGCCTCCGGAATGACCTGTGAATAGAAGGCAGTTTGGGCTTGAGAGAGGAAGTGACAGTAGGTATGAAGATGCTGGAGCCACAGCTGGCGGTGAACCGTGAGGCTGGTTTGGTGCCTTTTTTTTCTTTTACAGATGTGGATTGGCTCTTTAGGATTTTCCAAAAAGAAACCGTGAGGTCTCGCAGCAGTCTTAAAGTTGTGGTGCACCAATATGGTGACAGAAGAGATTGGGAACACAGTCTGAGAGAATTCACTGCAACTCTCTCTCACTCTAATCGCAGAAGCAACAACAACAACAAAATTACATTTGTATAGCACCTTTCACGTCGGGAGGACATCCCAACAAACCTGAAACAAAGTGAGTGTAACAGTTACTCTGAAAATGTTGATGTATTATCATTTATAATATACCAAATTATTCTATTCAATTATTTATTATCACTATATAATAATATTATCATATGTATTATCATTATAATGCACTAACTACACCAATAATTATAAATGATAATACAACAACAAAATTACATTTGATACACCAAAATTTTCACCAAGTAAAATGCAGGAACTGTCACGCAAACAGGTGACACAGTCAATCCGCTTAACAGTATATTCTGTGAAATGCTTTAAGATGTCTCAATGACGTGATAAGGTGCTATATCAAATGCAGGGATTATTATTATTATTAAAGTTAAAATTGAGTTTTTTGCCAGCAAATTGACCTTAAAAGAGAAAAAAGAAACATGAAGTTTAAATGGTTAGGGTTGGTTGTGGCAACTTTAGATTGATCTGAGACAGACAGACAGACAGACAGACATATGGGAAGAGCGCTCTCACCAGTGAAGTCGCTTGTGGTCCTGGGGGCAGAGTTGGCGTTCAAAGCCAAACCTCCCGTTCCAAACAAAGCTCCAGGAAAGAGCAACAGCAACAAAATCTGAGGGATTTCCTCACCAGACATGTCTCGGGCTCCAGGGTTTAACGGGTGGATCGGGGATCTGTGTAACTTCTGCAGAAGGTACCGCACGGAGCCCTATCGTCTTTGCAGCTCCTTCCCTGGAGCCGGAGCTGCTTCTCGCCTTTGCCTCACGATTCCTTCAACCGGAGATTAAATATCCCTAAACCGCGAGAGCACAGTAACAGTGCCTTTGCCTCCAACGCAGGAATATTTCAGCTGATGTCCTGTCTTTAAATCCCCATTGATCTCCGCCCGTCCCTTTCCCGTCCCCTCGCAGTGCTGTTAATGATTTTCGTGGTTGTTCATTTCCTCCATTGCAATCTCTCTGTCAGAGGGCGACTCGCACTCAGTTCTGCTGTTGACAGTCACGGATCACCAACACAATGACAGAGCCAACGCCTCTGTTGGCTTCTCGCCAGTAACCAGGTGCAGGTCGCCCCTTTTTTTCTAAAGAAGCCCGAATCAATCCCGAAAATATTAAGAGATGAAAGCGGGAGCCTCGGGTAGTGCGATTGTAGCAATTCCACAATAGAGGGCGTTAGCGTTAAGTGGCTTTTTTTCTCAGGCTTTGGTTCAACGCATAAGGTGGGCAGCCCACACCTGACTGACTGCTGTCAGGAGACAATAATAATACAACAACAACAAAATCACATTTGTAAAGCGCCTTTCACGTTGGCAGGACGTCCCAAGGCGCTGAACAGTCAGGGATCAGGACCCGAGCATTGGGGGGCAGGGTTGGGGTGAGGGAGAGCAGAGAGGGAGCGGGGCAGCTAAAGGCACCGTCAAAAAGAAGGGTCTTGAGTTATGCCTTAAAGGAGGCAAGGGAGGCAGCAAGGCAAAGGGACTGTATGATGGAGTTCCAAAGAGTAGGTGCAGAGTGGCTGAGTGGTCGGGCGGGTTGGCCAGGAAACATGGAGCAGCCCGGAGTCTGCTGAACGGAAGGAAAGGACAGTTGATAGGAGGTCAGCAGGTCAGAGAGGTAGGAGGGGGCAAGGCCTTGAAAGTGAGGATGAGGATTTTGAATTCTATCCTCTGAGGGATGGGGAGCCAGTGGAGCCGGGCAAGGGTGGGGGTGATGGGGTCATGGAGCCTGGTGTGGGAGCGGACACAAGCTGCAGAATTCTGGATGATATGCAGCTTGTGGAGGGAAGAGTTGGAGAGACCGACGAGGGAGTTTCTGTAGTTGAGCCTTGAGGTGACGAATGCATGTATGAGGGTTTCAGCAGCCTGTGGAGTGAGGCAGTGGCAGAGTCAGACAATGTTGCGGAGGTGGATAAAGGTAGAGCTGGTCATGGCACAATTATGGGGGAGAAAGGATAGTCAAGGAATGAACAAGACACCCAGGTTCCTGACTGGCTTGGTGAGGTGGAGTGTGCATCCATGGATGCTGATGCTGTCAGTGCCTGAGGTGCGGAGACGCTGGCGTGAGCCAATAAGGAGGGTTTCAGTCCTGCTGATACTCAGCTATAGAAAGTTGGCTCTCATTCAGAACTTGATGTCTGACAGATATTCTGTTTGGACGTCAGTTGTCCTGGAATCGAGGCTGGAGGCAGAGAGATAGAGTTGGATGTCATCTGCATACCCTGAAAGGGTAATGGAAGCCAATTCAATAACAACTTTTAAGAGAGAAGTAGATGGGTATTTGGGGAGGACAGGATTGCAAGGCTATGGAGAAAATGCGGGCCAAATGAGGAACACTGCACGAGACCATGCAGGGGCTGGAAGAGAAACCGTTGGCGGAGACAAATTGGAGATGGTGTGAGAGATAAGACCTGAACCATTCAAGGAAAAAACCTAGAAGGTTGAGGTGAGATGAGAGCCGGTGGAGGAGGATGGAGTAGTCCATGGTATCGAAGCCAGAAGAGAGTTGGAGGAGGACGAGGAGACAGAGGGAGCCCTGGTCACAGATGGACCGGATATCATTTGTGGCCTTGACCAGAGCAGTTTCCGTGCTGTGAGCAGCACAGAAACCCAATTGGAAGGGCTCATGAAGGGAATGGTAGGAGAGGAAGGAGCGAAGCTGGGAAACAACAACTCTTTCAAGGACCTTGGAAAGAAAAGGGAGGTTGCAGATGGGCCAGTAGTTAGAAAGCAGGGATGGGTCCAGGGAAGGTTTTTCCAGGATGGGGGTAATTTATAGCTGTTTTTAGAGGGATGGGAATGATACCAGATGATAGGGAGAAATTGATGTTGTCAGAGAGTAGAGGGGCGAGGAGGCGGAGCTGGGAGGTAAGGAGAGGTGTAAGGAGAGATAATAATAATCATGCATTTGGTCGTGCATTCCATCACCCTCCCACCTCCCCCACCCTTCTTGATTCCAACCCCCAGCTTGGGTGCAAACCCTTAACTGTCCAGTGCCTTGATTCGTCCTTCTGACGTGAAAGGTGCTATATCAATGTAATTTTGTTATTGTTGTTGATATAGCACCCTATCACTTGGAAGGACCTCTCAAAGCACTTCACAGGCACTGTGAAATGGAATTACTCTATTTATAGGCAAATCCACTAGCACAGTTGTGCGCAGCTATGTCCCATAAACATCCATGGAGTGAGTGACCGATTTAATTTGGGGAATTGTATGCCAGGACACCGGGAGAGAGAAACTCCCTTCTCTTTTAAGTAGTGCCATGGGATCTTTATCATCCACCTGAGCAGACAGACGGACTTTGGTTTTAAAATCTCATCCAAAGGATGCCATCTCCGATAGTGCAGCACCCTTCAGCAGTGTCATCTTAGACTTTGTGAATTACTGCAACTGAATTCCCAACATGGGAATTGAACCCACAACCTTCAACCCTCTGTGCCAAGCTGACACTTAAACAACAACAACTACGTGCATTTACATAACACCCTTCACACGGGGTAGCATCTTGGAACGCTCCACAGTGGTGGAGTCTAACCCGAGTCACAGAGAGAGGGGGTAGTAAAAGGAAAGTCCTCAGGTGAGACCTCGGGGAATAGCCTGTACCCCTTTATCACCATTGGACGACATGATAAGGTGCTATATTAAATGCAATGATCATTATTGTTATTATTGACAGGTTCCTTGTCTGTAGTATTGGACTTCCACCCACTCCCCCCCACATCAAATTCAATACAATTGAGCGTGTGTGTTTTGGGGTAGGGGCTGGGTGGAATGGGGAGGGCAAGTTTGCAGGGCTATGGGGAGAGAGCGGGGCAGTGGAATTGATTTGGATAGGTCTTTTTAAAGAGTCAGCACAGACACGATTGGCTGAATGGCCTCTTTCTGTGCTGTATAATTGTATGATTCTATGAAACAAACCTGTATCCCTCCTGATTACCTGCAGGTGGAGTCCTGTAGCTCAGTGGTTAGAGCACTCGCTTTGCAAGTGAGAGACCTGAGTTCAATTCCAGGCAGAGGGCGAAACCTTGGGCAAGTTTCCTTACTCCACACAGAGCCTAATAATAATCCCTCCAAAACCAAAAACGATAATAAATTGGTCATTTTCAATCCATGACTGTTTGTGGGACATTGCTGTGCGCAATTGGCTGCCGCGTTCGCCCACAAATATACAGTCAATTCACTTTACAGTTTGTTCTGTGCAGCGCTTTGGGACGTCCTCCCGACGTGAAAAGCGCTATATCAAATGCAAGGATTATTATTATAATATCAAATTTATTATTTTTATTATATTATCATCATCATTATGAAGACCATTTTTTACAATCCTGTCAACTGGTTTGAACTCCACTCTGAAGCACATTGCATTGGAGTAATGGTTGAGCAATTCAGAGCAATACACTTCCAGTTTCAGGAAGGAGTCCCTATTTGCTTGACATCCATCAAGTACAGTGATTCCTATTAAGAAATCCAACTTGAAAGATGATACATAGTACAAGCACAAGTTGCTGCCTTAGAAGTAAATGGCACATGCATCCCACAGAAAAACAAAAGGGGATTCACAACAAAAGAAACTCAAGCCAGTAAATTATTGATGAGATTTTTTTAAAAATGTTGTTTTACCTCCCCTAAGAATTACATTAATGTATAAAAGGTTTTGCTCCATCAAAGGCACATATCATTAAATATTTAAGACTATCGAAGCAGTTTGCTTCATGCGTGAACTCTGAACCACAGTGACGATGCAACCTGCGAATAATCAGGACAAATTTTTCCAGTCATTATATCCCGATCATCACAAATTCAGTGTAGAAAATACACACTTAGGAGCAATTATCACTGGCTTTGCGAGCATGTAGTCACACGTATTGGAAGAAATGACTCTATTTATGTAACATTTCAGAGTATCTAGATTTTGGCAAATACAGCCTTAATGAAGTCAGCTTTCCATACATTCTTTTAAGATCTGCAGAAAACCGACTGCGAAGTTAAGACTGAATTCAAAGTTACGACAACTTCCGGATAGTCTCCATAGAGTAAAATTAGACCTCTAATATCTTCTCCCCCATAGTTTATGTTACCTCTATGTTACTGATTCAATGTAATTTGTACAAATCTTCAACAAATTCCATAAGCTGCTTGTTTAAAAAAGTGAGAGGACTTCACACAATGGACTTCGCACAAGTGTAAACAAATTATATTTGTATAGCACCTTTCACGTCGGGAGGATGTCTCAAGGTGCAGGACAGTCAGGAATTTGGACCCGAGCAAGGAGTTAGGATCAGGAGGGTTGGAGGGCAAGGAGGGTAGGGGTAGGAGGGTGGCTGAAGGCGCGGTCAAAGAGGAGGGTCTTGAGACATGATTTAAAGGGGGCAAGTCAGGGAGCAAGGCAAAGCGACTGTGGGATGTAGTTCCAAAGAGTGGGGGCAGAGAGGCTGAAGGCCTTGACCGCTGATGGTAGGGCGGGCCAGACGGATGATGTGGAGGAGGCTGGAGCCTGATGAGCGGAGGGAGTGGACAGGTTGATAAGGAATTAGCAGGTCACAGAGGTAGGAAGGTGCAAGGCCATGGAAAGCCTTGAAGGTGAGGATGAGGATTTTGAACTCTATCCTCTGAGGGATGGTGAGACAGTGGAGCCAGTGGAGGGTGGGTGTGATGGGGTCATGGAGCTTGATGCAGGAGAGGACACGAGCTGCAGAGTTCTGGATGATCTGCAGCTTGTGGAGGGAAAAGTTGGCAAACAGTGTGTTTGAGTAGTCGAGCCTAGATGTGGTGAACGGTGATCGAGGGTGTCGGCGGCCTACGGGGTGAGGCAGTGGTGGAGTCGGGCGATGTTGCGGTGGTGGGGGAAGGCAGAGCGGGTCATAATAATAATAATAATAATCCTTGCATTTGATATAGCGCTTTTCACGTCGGGAGGACGTCCCAAAGCGCTTCACAGAACACACTGTAAAGTGTAAAGTCATGGTACGGAT